AACAGTCTTTAAAGCATCACTACGGTGACTTTGATTTTAGTTCCTTACTTGGTTGAGATGTACACAGGTATCCACTGCTGCCTTTGGTTGATTACATTTCAAAAACGCAGTCACTGCTTGTTCACACATTCCAACTCTCACAAACATTTGTGCTATTTCCTGTGGACAAAACAATACTATCAGATTTCACAGAACAAGGAAATCACTTATATTTTAATTTACAAAACTCCATAGGGACATGAATATTAACTTCACTGGTGGCTACCAATTCTCCTTTTAAACGGACACAGAGGTAGAGGCTACAAACCATAAAGGATGCTAAGGCATCATGTTCTGTAAAATCAGTGACTCACACCGAGGATCTGGTTTTTAACCAGGTTCTAATGATATTGCACTTGTATCTTCTCTCAGTTCAGTAGCTATTTTACAGAAATGCCAAGCTCCAAAACAAACCCCACACTAGTGGGTAAAAAACACCTTTAAGGCAATTGATGTTACACTCAATGTTACTCACTAAAGGCTTAAGGAAAACCTCACACTCACAGAGCTCTCAAATACCTCTATAAAAAATGCCCCAGACAAGTTGACCACTCATCAGTTCAGGAAGCTAGACCAAAAACAGAAGAGGGAGAACCACAACAAAACCCAGTCATACCCAGTGGGCTGTACTCGACATTTTCAGAATATCAGGTTTTTTTCCTTTCTTATTATCTAATTGGTTAGAGTTTTTCTCTCTGCATCCCCACTCCTAAAAGATTTTGGGAAATATCATAAAAGTACATTTTGTACCCAACTATCTTTTTTAAGTGACGGTTATATTTTTCTGATTATAAAGTAATTCTTACGGTAAAAAAAATTAGAAAATATGAAAAAGTAAAGCTACTCATAATTCTTATTACCCATAAGAAACCTCTCTCCATATTCTGATGGAATGTCCTAACATCTGTGTCCTATGACTCTATGTGTATGTGTGTGTATGTATGTTTCATAATCATAGTATATACAGTTTTGTATACTGTATTCCCCACTTAAATATTTTGTTCATTTTCCCAATTATTAAAAAATCCTTCAAAACTTGATTTAAAATTTGCAGTTTAAATTAAAATATACTTTCTGAAAACGAATATATGTATGTATATGCAAGACTGAGACATTGTGCTGTACACCAGAGACTGACACATTGTAACTGTACTTCAATTTTAAAAATTAAACTATACTTTAATTATTTAATTATTATTATTATTATAGCTATAATTAGTATTTAATCAATAATATTACTATTCTGGATACCCTACAGCAACATTTTTTCCTGCACCATCAGACACACCTAACAGATGACAGTAATATCAGATTCACTGTCCCTATATCCAGGGTTATGTTATAAGTAATTTCAGTTTCTTTCCTACTTAAGCAAACACATAAGATTGAGAATAAGGGTATGTGAAAATGCCATTATTACAGGGAGAATTGCTCCAATTCACAATAAAGAAAAAAACCTGAATTATCAGAATTCTTTACTCATCTATTAATAGACAAAATATTGTGGGAGAACCTACAACTGATATATGTCCAGACCCTGTAGTTGAGAGCTCTTACCTCTCTAGGTATCATATAGCTCAGTGATTTATATTTCAGATAAAACAAATAAAATACAAGCTCATTTACATTATTCACCAATTAATTTAACGAGGCTTAAAAAAAGAAAATAGAACAAAATTACAGAGAAATCTGCTTTCAGTTTCTCTTTTTTTTAAAAATTAAACCCTTTATTGTTAATGTAACCTAATAAAAGTCAAGCTATCTTTTTAAACTTTTCTCATAGGAAATTTCAAACATACATACACACATATCACTCCTCAGACCCACCTCAGATTATTCTGAAGTGAAATTCTGACAACATATCATTTCATCTGTAAGTATTTCACATTTTCAGCTAACTCTTTAAAACAATTTTACAAAACTGACAACCCTACGCAAGACTATGATCATGTTAAAATAGTAGGAATATGACTGACATTTTTCTCTCCATTTTCAAACATACTGACAAATTTTTCTTAATAACTAAAGCATCATTCTATGTCTAAGAAACTGTAAAGCTGTAGTAATTTTTAATTTTATGTATTACAGAGGACATTTCCTGACTATAACATAAAAACCTTATAAAGTAACCTAACGGCTCCAAAAACTAAAATTTTTAATACCTACTGGAAGCAACTTGTGGTTTTCTGGAAGTGAATTGGCAAGATTCTCCAATCCTTCATAATCTTCTAACATATAATAACATTCAGCTAAGCGCTCCTGGTTCCGGCCTTGTACATAATACTGTACAGCATTCAACCTAGGGAAAGAAAAAAAACTTTTAAAACTAATGAAACTAGTATGAATTTCCTGATAAATAAGCACTTTCACAAAAATGTTCTTTCATTAGGATTCCAGTACTAGTATTACTCTAGTCATCATCTTCATTACAGAATGTCTTTGAATATTCTTAAGAAATACTGTTTTAATCTGATATACTGTTGTATTTCCTAACACTGACATAAATAAATAAGCATACTGATCAAAATGATAACTTAAGAACAAAGCCAATGATTTCTGGGAAAAAATCTGTAATAACAAAACAAGCAAATATAAACTATATCCTCAAACAGCAGAAAGTTATCTGGAACTAAAATGTAAGTTTTGTGAGTTTTGAAACTCCGAAGGCTTATGATGCTTACATGACAGCTTGAAGGAGCTCTTGCTCCTCAACGTGAATCTAGAACTACATGAATTTAGGCCCCAGGAGGATGGCCTTCATTTGCCTAGCATTATGTCATAGGGAAGTACTCAGGCAGCTACAATTTTAAGTGCTGGGTGAATGGATGAGGGGGTCCAGATAGGTTACCTACCACTTTTGTCGATCAGCAAAGTAGTCTCCGATGGCGTTGTGGGCTTGTTCAAGGAGACTGTCATCTGCATCACCAGATCCAGTTTTCAGGAGTTGGAGTACTCTAAACCAATCTCCCAATTTCTGCCGGAGGCCAATAGCAAGATCTCTACAAAAAAATGACATTCATTCATTCACTCATTCAACAAATATTTATCAAGTGCTTATTCCATGCTAGGTTCAATTCTAGGGCACTGAGAATACACAGCAATGAATGGACAGATGAGGTAACTCTACAAACATTTTAAAATTTAGCCCCATCAGGTAAAAGGCAATAGGGAGAACCTGGAATAAGAAAAGGGAAACAATTTTCTGCCTCTTATTTTCCTAGACTTTCAAGTTACTTGGCAAAATGATTTAAATAACAGTCACTTCTTTTCATCAATTTCTTAAGACATGATCAGGCTTATTTCATGTTTACATGTTTGGTTTTATACTTCTTGTGAGGGCCCAAGTTGTATTAGCAATCTCTCAGAAGTACAAATAATAAAAATTAGATAAAATGTTCACAGCTGAAATGAAGTTCATAATTATTTTCTCCAAATCAAATGAAATATGAAGAATAAAACTCAATCCCCTAATACCTTTGATTTTTACTTCATGCTCCTTGACAAAAGGCCTAAATCAAAAAAGAGAACCCAAACAATCAGCTTAGTAAATAAATGCTAAAGCTTCCAGTTTCTGCAGCCATATATGACTTTTTTCTCCTACCAAATGAAAAAACTAACCCATGGCCAGCCCTTACTACATGTATAAAAAGAGAAGAAAGCTGCCCCCGAATTACAAAGCATAAATTCACGAAGGTCATGCAGAATATCCAGGTTGTAATCCAAACTGAATTTATTTTCTAAAACACATGGTTTTACAATCCCCACTTGAGAAAAAAAAACAAGTTACAATTTCTGGAAGTACTCTGGGTGCCGGCACCTTCATCACTTACCTTCTGTCCATATCGAGGTACATTCTCTCTGCTTCCTCGAACCTGCCGAAGTAGGCGACCACCTCTGCCTGCTTCATGGACTCACTCTGTAGGTTGCCCAGGCGCTTCACAAACTTAATGCCTTGGTAATCCTTACAGCGCACGAACGCTTGCTCCGCAGTGTGCAAATCCAGCTTCTGAAGAGCTGCTTCAGCCAACAGGCGCCTTTAGTACAAAAGAACAGGAAAGCATATGGCAAGTTACTGATAAACAAGCCTCGAATCAGAATTCAATTATTACACCTGTTGTTTCTAGTGAACCATGGTGGGAAGTGATTATTTTAACACATTTATCCATGTTCATATCATTTTATGCTTGTGTTGAGCACTTCCAAATCGAAACTGAATTTCTGTATTTTTAAAAGAACAAGAACGGAAGTCTACTCCCATCAGGAGGCTAGGATGAGTGCAGAGGAAGACAGAGCTGAGACTGTAAGGCTTACACCTGACATGTGGGGAGGTTTTTTTGTTGTTGAATTTTTTAAATACCAAAGTCGGGGGTGTGGGTTGTCCTCTATGAATTGAGATGCATCTTCAATTCCAACCTTCTCAATCAGTGCTCGGCTATCTCGCAGGGACCGAATCTCGAAGTTAATGATATAATCTTTGTTTGGATGTTCTGGATTCTGAAAGTAAAGATGAAAAGGAAAAAAAAATCAAATAGTTCCCTGTAGAATATGTATTTCTTTTTTACAGTAAAAAGCAAACAAGGAACTGCATCATATTATGAGCAAAACCAGGAAGAAAAGAATTCCCATATATGAATCTTTTGAGTTATCTGGAAAACACCCCCAACCCACAAGTCCCTCCTGAGGTTAAAAGGGGACAGTGGTAGAAGGGGTCTCTCACAATTACGCAGACTTGTTCAGATTCTTCCTTTGGACAAATGGAATAATCAAACTTACTTCCGAGCATTGTGAGGATTAACTGAGAAAACACATCAAACATTTAGCACAGTGCCTAGCTGCATTACTCACATTATTCAGTCTCAGAACTGACCTCATGCTCTCTTGCTTCAAACCTTAGAAGAGATACACCTACCAACTGAACCACAGCATCCCCAACCCTCTTCCGGTGGCTCAATGTCTTGTCCATCTCCCCAGATCCTCCGCTTGAGGCCAGAAACTGTCTTACTAGATCTCAATAAATATTTGCTGAGTCAACGAATAGATGAACTTTGGTTAAATATCTTACCCACTAAGAGCCTTCCTCATCTACAAATGAGGTCTGTGTAGTATCTACCAAGTACAGTTGTAATGACAAATAAACATTAATATGCAAAGACAAATGAACACCTCATACGAAGGAACATCAGTAAATGTTAATTCCCTTCCTTTTCTTTTTGCATTCCTTCTTTTCTAGTCTTCCAAGAAAGTTCTCATGTTATTTCTCTTTTTCCCCTATTTTACTGAGTATAATTGGCATACAACATTGTATTAGTTTTAGGTGTATAACACTCATGTTATTTCTGAAAACTGTATGTCTGAAGGAATCCACAGTTTACCTAAACAATTCCTGGGTCGACAAGGCCTCAGTGGGAACTGAAGTATGACAATATTCTTTTCTTTATGGGTTGGCACATAGTAAGTCAGATAACAAAACTGTCACAGAGAACTTGGTTTCCCTTACAGTTTAACCACCCTTGCCAGTAAACTGGGCAACAGTACTATAGATATTCTTTATTCTAGAATTAGATATGCAAAAAATGTGTCCAGTGTATCAAGAATTTTAAAGTATATCTAACAATTTAAATATGCATTTTTAAAAATTCTTCATAAAAATATAATTATCAGGCCAACAATATCACAGGCATTTTTAAGCATTCTAGATCTTAAAGCAATCAGCAACTATGAGCCTTTCTTGAAAAAAACTACAGTCATGAAATCCAGCCAACTGAAAGATAAATCAAAATTAATAACTCATGTACAAAGAAAATGCAGAAAAAACTGGTAATAGCTGTCTCTTAATGTGAGACTAAATAACTGAAAATTAGGGTTACACAACAAAGTGTAAAGTTCTAAATCTCGACAACATAAAAATAGTATGTCTGAGAAAAAAAGAAGAGAAAGAGGGAGAAAATGTAAGAACATCATCTTTTAGAGTGGACAATCAATACTATTAACAATGAAAATGTAGTTTAAAACCAATAAACTTAGTTTTTCATAGTTTTTTCTTACCTAGAAAAATGTATTGTTTGTGGTGAGAAAAAATTACCTAATGTTCTACAATTCCTTCAAATACTGTCACATTATTAAATTGAAATTCAATTTAACACTAAAAAAGTAGATTGTACAGTGATGCCATTCTTATAAAATTATTTCCATTTATTTTCTAGTCTATCAAATGTATCTTTCTACATACAGGTTACAGCTTTCTAGAATAATGTTCTGGTGTTTACCTAATGTTAATCATTAAAACATCTAGATTGCAATAAAACCTCAGACATTCCTTTCTGATGTTTGACAGCTGACAACTTTTAAGCCTCATCCCTCCCCCTTCTCCTTCCGCTTCACATCTGGGCAAGGTGATGAGAAAGAACAAGTGGTCCATCCTTTGGCGCCACAGGAGTTTCAAAACTCACAAACATCTACGTACACATGGAAACCCTCACCCTAATCCCACCCTCTAACTCCACCACGTCCCAAAAAAACCAAGCCAGTCTCCTTTCTCTGCTCTCAAACCATCTTTGGACCAGCTTGGGAAGCCTGTCCTTTCTCCCTTAAAAACCCCATTATGTAGGTAATATCTTCTTGCACCCTTTTGGTATGTCTGTAGTGTCATCACTCTTGACATGCGAACCAAGTTTAGGGTGGAGGCCCATCCTGCTGCTGCAGAGCAGGCATCATTAGCAACAAACTGGTTCACAATAAAAGAGCTGCGATTTACATATAAACCAAAATATGAAAACATGCTATAAAATGCTGCTAACGTCTGGAAATTTAAACCTATCCCAATTCCAAAAGACATACACAGTACATAGACAAAGTAAATATTTAGATAAAGTGAAGGTAAATTTTCAATATATTCTTAAAGTAAACAATTCTCAAAGAATGTTCAATGAAGGCCAAAGTAGAGATTCAAAAATTATCTGAATTCTATTATCTGGAATTAGAAATAGAGTATTTTATGAAAACCTAAAAACAAGATGGGAGGATAGTGGACCTCCAAATAAAAGGTTACTCAAATATCCCTGAACAAGAAAAAGACTAAAGAAAATTATCAAATATTTCTTCAGTATCTCTATTATTAATATTAAAATAATGATGACAACAATTATCTACCAGTTTTCAGTTCCTCCCGCTGTGCTAAGTGCTTTTCATAAGTTATCTTGTAAGATAACAATCGTATAAGATAGGTGCTATTACCATCCACATTTTATAGAGGTTAACACTGAGGCTTATAAACAGGGAAGGAAAATGAAGTTGAAAAGATGAAGGAACCAGCCTAAAGGTTGTATAAATGACAGAGCAGGGCTGGACCTCTTCAACCCACACTCCTAACCAGGACACTATACTGCCCGGTGCAAAAATCAATCCTAGTCAAGCCAGCAACAAAAATATAATTGTTTCTTAACAAGAATTACCTTTAATATCTCATCCAAAAGAACAGATTTAATTTCTAAGTCCTCAAAGTTACAAATATATCCAGAAGTCTGAATGGGCTCCTTTAAAGACAAAAACAAATGTTAAGTTTAATTGTACAAAATTTCCCTTCTTTAACATATCATGATTTTAAATTTTATTATCAAAATTTTCAAAACAACAAAAAAGTAAAGAGAATGTCATTAACACCCATATACCCATCATCTAAATAATTAACATTTTGCTAAATACGCTTCAGTCAATTTTTTTGGCTAAAGTATTTTAAAGTAAATTTAGAGACATCATGACATTTCACCCCTATTTCAGCACATACCTTTATAAGAGAAGGATGTTCTCTTCTAAATAAGTAAGTATACATCTATGATGGGTACGGATTCAAAACTTTAGAAAACCCTTGTTTGGAAAAGAAGCAAATGTACAAAAATACGAAACAAATTGATGAAAATGTGAGATATGAAAGGACTATGAATATAAAATAATAGCACCAAAGAGAGGGAAGATCCAAGACAAAGAATAAAAAAGCTGAATCAGTATCTTGAGAGGGTGACTGGAGATGAAAAGGATCAAGCAGGGAATATCAACATTAAACAGTTATTTTTTAATTTTCAAAGAAAATGTACTTTATCAATGAACTAGAACTTTGTACACAAATGGTACCCTTTTCTCACACATAATCTGAAGAAAGGTTTACAACTTAAGGAAAGGTATGACTCTAGAATTCACAGTAACACTCAAATGGATAAAAATGTATTCAACATTAACCATCAAATAATAGCTTATCTCCTGAATAATAATACAGAACACTGTATCCTGAAGGAGTTCTAGTAAGCTCTGTTTTGAAGAGTATGTCCTCACATGCTCATTCAATAAGCAGCTGGAGGAATAAATAGCAGAGTAACTAACCAAGCAGGGACCACAGCCAGACAGCGTTCTCATGAATGAAAAGAACAGCACAGCATGATTTATAAAGAAATTCAGTCAGTGGTAAGGTTATAAGAAATTCACCTAGTTCTAAATCTAATAGAAACTTGCTGGGCCAGACAACAAACTCCAAAAATAAATAAATAAAAGGCTGTTTTGTTAAACTACTCAAGGAATGCTTCCCACTGGGCTAAGATTTCCCCTGGTACTAGATTAACTGTGTGTGCTACACACACATTATGGACAGCTGGGCATAATCCTCTCCCTTTTCCAGGCATATGATTTCAGAATTACTATAAGTAGAGCCAAGGATGGAAAAAGGACCCTAACATTCAGAAAGTATTTTACTTCCATCCTCAAGGTGATTCCATGGGATAATTTTCATACTTGTTTTGTAGCAAGGGTCAAATTTCCCTCGGATCCTTGAAAGCAGCCTATGCATACAGGTCAAATGCAGCAGCCCTGAACGCCTTTCTTTTGAGCCATTCCCAGAGTCTAAAAATTACAAAATTCCTTAAGATTCCTAAAAACTTCAACAAAAGCCTTTGAGAGCAATTTACATCAGGTCATTTACTAATCCAAAGATTCTGAGTAGGGCTCAAACGGGGAAATGTGAAAATAATTTAGGATATTAAAGAGGCAAATAGTTTACCACTAAATAAGTCATTACAGAAGGTCTTCAGTAGCTCAGAGGCTCAAGCGAGCAATTTCTTTCCAAGAAGGAAACTATAGGTCCAAACAAACATCAATTAATGACACAAAGCATTTATCAAGTCATCTCTTATTACGCACAGTAGTGGAATGTAGCAGGAGTACCGAAACTTCCAATGTGAAAATCCACTAATAATTCAAAAATTGTTTAAAAGATTTACTTTCTTAATGATGTTTTGATTAGGCTACCGCTCAAATGATTCTGAATTTCCTAAACACAACATCTAACAGCTGATACAGAGCAGACTAAGTGACAGGAAAATTCAGAGGCTAAAAATTAGCTGAAGAGAGCCACCAAGTAGAAAATAAAACTGTAACTTGAAAATCAGTGAGAAAGGGGCTCCCTGATAGCTCAGAGAACGTAGGCGAGGCACAGTAAGACCACATGGATTAGTGGGTGACGGACTTCATGTGAACACAAGACAAGGTAAGCACAGAATAAGGTGGACAGAAAGGCAAAAGTATGAAAAGATAAGGCAATTTCAAAACCACATTTTTTGTTTAGGCTGTTTTAAGCAATTTCAGTAAATAACACTATTTTCTTTCTTTCTTTTTTTTTTTTACTTTAACAAGGGAAAAAACAAAGGCTATACAGTTGGTGACCATGGTTCCATCTTTTAAAAAGGAGAGAAATACTTAGAAGCGTCTTTCAGAGAAAGTAGAGAATCTTTAAAGGATAAATATTATTCCCACTTAAGACCAAATATTTTTAAATTCCACAGAAATGTTTCTGTTTATTTTCAGAAATTCATGGAGCCAACACTAATAAACCTCTTGAAGAAACAAAGGGGAAATGTCCAGGTTTTGATATTTGGCTCATTATTTATGCACTGTTAATGCTCATTTCTTGTTTTTACCTCAGGATCCAAGTTTCTGAAAACATACATCCTTGTCTTCTCCATCATTGCAAACAGATCAGGATTATCTTTGGCCCACTTCATATCCCAGACATCTTTTCGCTCCAATTTTAACAACTCGCCGGTGACTTGCTGTCCTGTGCTGTCTGTTACCCGAGCATCCAAGTCAAAGAAGGTTAGAACTCCTGCGATGTCTATGATTGCAAGACGACTACAAACGGTGAAATTGAAAAAGGGGAAAAATTGTGAAAGTGCCACCAGCGATCATGAATATAATTACCTACCACCATTCTTCAAAATTAGTTCATCAGAACCTGAGAATCAGGGAGAAATGGCTTTAAATAAATAACTGGCTTTAAACACATGTTTATAAATTTGTTAGACGATGTGGGCTGCTTTTCATTTTGCTTCCGTGTGAGAAAAAAATATCCAAAGGGACTAAAGCAATTGGTGTGTAAATAAGTTAAAATATTACACTAGAATTTCTATATTTTGCCCAGTTAGAGAAAGATATCTAAACTAAACACAATATAGTAAATACAATGTTTAAATACAAATACAGTATAGTAAAGTCACATTGAGCTTTATTAAGTAGAAAACAAACACACGTCTTTGCATTTATTACATAAGTGCAGCAATCCCAACGAATAACTTCTAAGTCCAACATCTAAGTGAGGAAAGTTTTCAGACTTACCTGGAGTTGCAATTCAAGGATAACTGGTAGGCTCGACAATTAAGGGAATATTTTTGAATCAAACCAACATTAGGAAGACTGTATCTCTGAATGGTGCCAGATTCACGACTCTATGGAAAATATGTTTGATTATGAAAGCATATTTAAACATCATAATAATATATTACAACTACAGGTCTCCCTATATGTTCATACAACTGTTTCAAAGCCAAAGTGATGGTGTCATAGTGAATTCCCAATTCCATACTCAGAAATATGTTCTGAGTACATGTTTACCTCCTAATTTAATTAAAACCTTTTTAAAGTGGCTGAAGGTGATCTCTAATTTTTTAAATGTAACATTCAAGAAAGAAATCAGAAACCTATTCTTTGATAATACACAAAGATTTCTATCACAAGGAAGAAATATCTAGGGTTATTTACAGTTGTCTTGGTTAATATTCAGGGTACATTAAAAGCTAAAATATAAAGTACTTATATGAAATATCAATATAAGATCATTATAGGAAACAGTTGTTACTGAAAGTCTACGTTTTTCTCCTATGCCATCTATGTGATACTAGTTTGTGGCAAAGGGAGATGATCAGAAAACAGTGATACAATGAGTATGAGTCTAAATGTGCTTAAAAATAAAACAGAGTGTAAGTTTCTGTGCAACTCTGTACAAGCCTCAAGGTTGACAGACCAAGAGTTAGAGTAACAGACAGGAGAGAGCTGTGATTTCCAAACCCTGCCGTGCCTCAAGCCCACAGCAATGGGAAAAAGAGCAAGGCTGCACTCAGCCACCCCTCCCCGTCATCCCCCCCCACCCCTAATCTGAGCATCACTGCTCTTGCAGCGCCTGCAGAGGGCCTATCAGAAAGGCTGGGGAGAGCGGGGGTGGTCAGGAGCGGGGATGTTTTTAATGTATAAAAGGGAGGTATAGTCTTTGAAAGAGTTAATATGCTGAGGTACACAATAAGATTTTGTTTTTGAAAAAGGGGTTCTGTGGTCTAAAAATGTTGAAAAAGTAATGGTTCTAAAAATCATTTGAATTTCAACAGTGGAAACTTTTAAATGCAGAAGATATCTTTTCCATTAAAATTTTTGGCTGGTATTAAAACTATTTGAGTGTGTTGCTCATAGGTACACACTGTCATCTAGGAATTAAGTCAATTTTTGTGACTGATTTGACTTGCATGTTTTTTGATTTTTCCTGCAAATGTCAGAAACACAACTAACACAGCCAAAAAACAAAAAAACAAAAAAACCTGTATAGCAAAGAATCTAAAAAGAAAACAAGAGATTCCTCAGATCTGACTGTAAGATAAACTGCTTAAAACATACACCAACATCATTAGATGAGGAATAATGAACACTATGTTCTTAAGATTTTTTCCTCCCATAAACTTAGCTAATGCCTAAAGAATGTAAGTAGAACTGGAAATACACACTATCAAGGATCTGTTTACATAATTCAAATTCAGTGACTCCACCAGCATTACTACATTAAACATTTATTTCTAAAATTAATATTTTCAAATATCAGAGCTCAAGAAAAGACACTGTAACATTGATACATTGATTTTGTTTGAAAAATTCAACAAAAATTTGCCACAGACTTACTTTACTTTACTGGCTAGCAAACACACTACCTCCTCATTCTAAGTCTTGTGAAACTGACTGAGCCAAAGCACCTTCTCCGGTACAAAATAACAGGCCACATAAAGGAGGCAACTTTCCAAGACCCACTACCACCATCCAGTCCTCTCCACATCTGCCAACCCTTTACAGGGCTCATTCAACCCAGTGTCAGACTCTCTCCAGCTGGCCACTGTTCTACTGCTTTTATAAACTGCTATTTCTGCAAATGATTAATAATTTGTGACGCAATCTTTAAAACGTTATTTCTTACGTTGGACGTAGTAAAACTGGAGGGGCCCAAAGAGGAAATTCAAATCCAAAACATACTGCTTTATTCTATTTTTACAATTTAAACAATTCTCATTCATAGAATAATTTTTCTTAAGAACTTACCACAATCAATGTCTTGTCAGATGCAGTTATGGCACAAATTGGATCCCTTGTTCCCTAAAATAAATCAATGTTACTCTTTAACAAATATTTATTGAATGACTAATCTGGTATAAGGTAGTATGAAATTCACGAAGAAGAACACTTCACTATAGCATCTAAATATAGAAATCTCTGCCCTCAGGGATTACTCAAAAGCCTACTGGGGAAGACAATGGACTGACACCTAATGACAGCGCAGTATGGTAAGAGGAGAGGTAAACTCAGGAGTTATGAGAGCACAGAGGGAGGAGCATAAACTTACAACAAAATCTGAAGAGAGCCAAAAACCTGAGTTTAGCTGTAGAAGACGAACATTCAGCAGAAGGACCAGCACATGACAGAATGAGGAGGGGGAAACGAAATGGCACTGTACAACCTGGATGGGTCTTAAGCGTTTTTTTGGTTTTGGTTTTGGGTTTTTTGGGGAAAAAAAAGCCAATCTCAAAAGGTTACATGCTATATGGCTCCATTCATAAAACATTCTCAGAGTGACAAAACTATAGAGATGGAAACAGATTAATGACTGCCAGGGGACAGGGATGGGGGTGGAGAGGGTGTGGAAATGAAGTAGCATGAGGCAAGTTCCTTTATGGTGATAAATTACATAAACCTACATGTAAAAACTAGTGAAAACTGAGTAAGGAACTGGGTCATAGTCTAGTTAACAGCATCATTACCAATGTCAACTTCCTGATTTTGATGTTATCCTACCATTACACGTCACCATTGAGAATCTGGGTAAAGGGATTCTATGCGCTATTTTTGCAACTTCTTGTGAGCCTATGATTATGTTAAAATAAAAATTTTTCTTTAAAACCAAAAGAAGAAAAAAAGCAGCAGATTCAGAAAAAGTTTTTCAGAATAGAAATTTTTAAAAGAATTACTAGAATAATATGCTATTCACTGGAAATAATTTTTTTTCTGGTCTCAAAATAAAACTATAGTATTTCCAAATCTACGGATATTAACATTTGCTGGCAATAATAAAATCACCTACTTGAATGGCTTTACTATAATCAAGCACCCCATCCACTGACCCAGAAGGAGTATCATCAACATGATAAATTCTGAAAAAAAAAAATTCAAATTTCAATGACAGTATAAGGAAGATTTCTACTATTTCATGATCTCTAGGACAATTAAAGGATTGAATGACACCAATGAATATTGTTATTTAATATAAATATCTTGATTATTTTAAAGAGTTCTTGGCCCAGCTCAATCTTATAAAGGCAGAAACTATCTACAAGGTGTTTACTAGCTATGTGAGTGCCATGTTCCTAAAGGCTGTGCTAAAAATATATCTGGACGCTGAATCACATATTTCCAGGGAACCGCAGTAAGCCCCAAGAGATAGCTTCCCTTAGTCTCCAAATGAACACCAGTTAGCAGTAACTTCCAATGCACTAAGTTACTCTGTTGCTTCTCCATAACTTCCCTCCTGTCGCTGTGCTCACTAAAGGTAGAACTGAAGTGTACTCGGGAAGCTCTAACGAATGGAATTTTTGTTCTAAAGTAAAGAATCCTCCCCTGCGCTTACCGGGTTATGCAGCTGCCCCACCTTGTGCACCACCTCTCGGGCACCTGTGTGGTACTGCTCACACCACAGTATCACTGCTAGTGTCCTTGTCTCTCCCACTAGATGGTGATTTTCCTGGAGGCAAAGACTGCATCTCCAGTGCCTGCCACACAGTGTCAGGGGCTCTATAATGTCTGATGAAAAAAATACTAAAATGAATGGAGGTGAATAGAGAAGAAGTATCATAGGAATGCTATGAGGCCCTGGGCAAGTTATTTAAGTTCTCTGAGCCGCAATTTCTCCATCTGTAAAATAAGGTTAACAATTTCCCTTTGCAGAGTTTTTGAGAAGCATAAATAAAATGTTTGTAAAGCACACATGCACAGAGCTTGATATCTAAAGGGAGTTTAAGAAATTATAGTTGCAATATAACCACAGGAAAATCAAGTCATTTTCTATCTTTAAAATATGAAATTTTGTCATTGTTAAATCGATGCCACATTCGTACTTTCAGCAATGTAATAGGGAGATCAAATGTCAAATAAATGTAATAGAAATGTATTAAATACAGAGAGGTATATCATTTTAGAACTACCAAGCTTCTGCTTTCTAATACATTTCTATTAAGTACAAACATAATATTTCTACTTAGTTATCACAAAATAAAAGTCGAAGGTTAAAATAGGAGGTCTCTCAAAAGATCGTGTGACCCACATCCTTTCCTTAAAACAAGCAGGAAACCACAAGGAAGGCCAATCTGGGAGGAGTGGCTCCATGTCCCATCCCTCCTTATCGGCTGGTAACCTCTGGCAAGTCATTTAAGTCTCTGTGTCTCAGTTTCCTCTCTGTGAAACAGAAATAATAAGAGTCCTAACGAGACTTACCAGAGTCTGGCACATAAGAAGTACTCAGTCAGTGCTGGCTCTGATCACCATCGTCAACTGTATTTTACAGACAGGGAAACTGAGGTCCAGAGGGAACGGACTCAAAGTCATTAAAACTAGTAAGTACATCCCAGACAGAAATATAAGGAAAAAGGAAATGATACCTTCTTTATTTAAACAAAACCCAGAATCTCTTTAGCTGGTTCATGGAGGACACTCACTCAGTGAATACGCTAGACTTTTCTGCCCCAACTTTTCCCAAGATCCACTTTCTCCCCCAAAAGAGGCCAAAGGCCCTTCCCATTGAGTTATTCAGAACTACTGAGAACACAAGATACAGTATTTTTCAACTGTTTTTTTTTCTGCTTCCACATGAATTCACATATCCAAACTTTTTTTTTTTAAACTGGGGTTATAACTCTTATCTTAGTATATGAGTGAGTCTTAAAGGAAAGGGAAGACTGCAGTAAGATCTCAAGTATGTGTGAAGGAAGATGACTGCTAATTAAAACAACTTACAGTTCTCAGGCATGACAATTTATAATAGCTATGTCTGATTTAAGTGTGATATGGTTGAGTTACTAAAAAATATGCATCAAAAGATATACCTTTCTCTGCCTTCTTTTCGAGACCGTGTGATCTGATTAATTTCCAATGCTGTGAGCTTCTTTGCCACACGATATTGCCAGGTATAAAACGCTTCTTTCGAAGCTGCTACCACATGGGTTTTGGTCATTGTAACAAATAATGGTACTGTTAAAAAGAACATAAAGACAATTAGGTTACAGTTAGACAGAATCATAAAACGTTTGTGCTTCAAAAGACTTCAGTGATCACTGAGTCCAATCCCTCATTTTACAGACAATATACTCCACACTGTCTGGGGCATCAGAAATTCTGAGTCAAAAGCTTGTAGGACTATACAAAAATATCAACTCAAAATGGGTCAAAGACCTAACTATAGAACTGAGAAGGTAACTTAGGTACAAATCTTTGTGACCTTGGGTTAGACAATGGTTTCTTAAACATGACACCAAAAGCGCAAGCAGCAAAAGAAAAAGTAGATAAACTGGACTTTATCAAAATTAAAAATATCTGTGCTCCAAAGGACACCATCAAAAAAGTGAAAAGATGGGGGGAGGGTATAGCTCAGTGGTAGTGTGTGTGCTTAGCATGCACAAAGTCCTGGGTTCAATCCCCAGTACCTCCATTAAAAATAAATAAATTAATAAATAAATAAACACAATTAACTCCCCCCTGCAAAGAAAACCAAAAAAAGTGAAAAGACAACCCCCAAATGGAAGAAGTATTTGAAAATCATATACACGATAAGGAATTGTATCTAGAATATGTAAAGAACTCAATAATAAAAAGACAAATAGGATCTAAATAGACGTTTCTCCAATGAAGATATACAAATGGCCACTAGGTCAATGAAAAGATGCTCAACATCATTAGCCATCAGACAAACACAAGTCAAAATTACAATGAGATACCACTTTGCACCCACAAGATGGCTAGAATCAAGAAATCAGACAGTAACAAGTATTTGCAAAAATATGATAGAGAAATGGTAGGCATGTAAAGTGGCACATTCACTTTGAAAAACAGCTTGGTTGTTCTTCGAAATGTTAAGTATAGAATTACCATATGCCCCAGCAATTCCACTCCTAGGTATATACCCAAGAGAAATGAAAACATATGCCCACACAAAAACTCATACACAAATGTGCATAACAGCATTCATAACAGCCAACAAAATGGAAATAGCCCATATGTTCACTAACTGACAGGTGGATTTAAAAACTCCCACTCCTTCCTCCCATCTCCACTACCATCACTGGCTGGTTCAGGCCTTTATCCTTCCCTCTGATCTCATATGTCTTATATTTCCTCATTAATTTAGAAAAGAAAATTCTCCAAAGTTCCTTCCTAGTTTAGGAATATATTCTCTTAAACATTTTTTCATCTGTTCCATTTCTTAGAGAACATTTAAGTAAATCCCTACTGTGTATCCTTTGATGAAATAGTCCCATCAAATCCATCTTACATATAAAGAAATAGAGGATTAAGGAAGTAAAATAACTTGTCCAAGGTAACAAACTAAACAATATAAAATTAGACACACACATTCACACAAAATAAGGAAAAACAAAAACTTTTATAAAAGATCATTTTAGTACCTAGTTTCTAAATTCACAATTTAAATAGTACAAAACATATTTTTCTATTTACAAATACTTACAAAGTAATCATTAATATGGTCAGAATAAAGAAATGGTGTTAGCAGCTACCATCTATACAGTTCTTGCCACAGTCCAAATAAAGAACATATAAGGCAGTAGGAGACTTAGAAACTGAACAAGGGACTAGAAACTAGACTGATGGTATGGTGTTAATTGAATAGATTAATAAGTCTAGATTCAAATTCAACAATTTTATATGCTAAATAACTCAGTATAGTTGAATCATATTTTTAAAAATTTTTTATTACAATTGCCAAGATTTCTCTATTCAAAATGTATACCACTACCAAACTCTAGAGGGAGCTAGAAGCCTTCCTCTGGGGAACCGCTGGTGGGAAGGCACTCCTGAGAATGGCAGAAGAGCTCCTAGGGATGTCAGGCCCAAGCTTTGCTCAGCTTTTACTGACCTCATCTGCTCTAAATCATAAGATAACTGCTAAACCATTCAGTAAATTCTACCACAGATATTATGATGTTGGTAACTATTATGTGTGATTTGAAGTTAGTTCACAAACCTTAACTGCTTTCTAATAAAATACAGTTTTTCCTAAGCGTTAGAAAAGCATTTTCCTAACTGATGTTTAACTACAATTATAAGTTATACTCATGTTCCTTTCTTTTTGATACATCCCAAATAAGCACAAGTTTATCATTAGCCTAATTAATTCAAAATTAAAATGTCAGTGCTTCAAAGCAAGTCAGATTTCTTGGATTCAAACACAGGCACTTGCTAACTCTGTGGCCTTAAGTAAACTACTTACTCTCTGAACCTCAGTTTGCTTACTATAAATTGAAGATGATAATAATAATAATATTACCAACCTTACAGAGATACTTTAAGGATTAAAAGAGATAAAAAAATCTAAAGCAGAGAACAGTGTCTAGCATAGAAGAAATACTTAATCATTTTAAAAGCTAGTATTTATTGAATTTTTAAAAATTATATGTCAAGCATTTAATATAATTATATTGTTATAATATATAATTAATACATTACATATATTAACTCACACCCACCCTGTAAGGTAGGCATTATTATTATCTCCATTTAGCAGATGAAGACACTGAAGGATGGAATGGTTAATAACTTGCTGAAATTGCACAGCTAGACAGTGGTAAAAGCTGGGACACAAAACCAGACATTCTGGTTCTAGACTCTGTGCTCTTAACCATTGCTTCTCATTAAGGGTTAATAACTGTTAGGCATGGTTGCTATTACTTTTTATTTTTGATAATAAAACCATATACAAATTCACGAGTCAATACAAAAAACAAATCCAAATATATATAAAATATGTTCTTTGTTTTCAATCAGTATGGGAGTAGCTTCAGCAAATTCATATGGAGATAATTCAACTTACATAAATTATGCTAAATCTTTATTTATTAACCATCCCATCCAGGTGGATTTCGTTCTTAGCTTCCTAGAATTAAAGTTAGAAGACCAAATTTTAACAGAATATTTTAGGGAAAAAAAAACCCACAACCAGGATAAAAGTACTCCATGTCCTTTTCAACTATTCAATACCTGGAAAGAAAAAATTCAAAACATCTAGAAAGATTATTGGGAAAAATTTTTAAAGAAAGTAATTATGCTTCCGTTAATTGTAACATTAATAGGTAGTAGTTACTAGCCAAGCAAGGATGTAAAATAATTTAAAACAATCTAGGAATTCACTTATAAGTAAAACCTGCTTGTAATATTTTAATGCTGAGGCCTGAAATAAATGTCTACATCTGTAATGTTCCCCCACTTTCCTACTTACTCATTTCTTAGCCATTTAAAGAGCTGGTAAACTGAAATTGCACTGAAATGTTCTGATCATATGCCCTCTCTCTGGAACACATGGAAGACCCACTGCATGTGCTACAGGCCGTCATTAGAAAGGTCCTACAAGCTCCCACCAAAATGGCCGCAGCACCGGCACCCGGTACTTTTCAGGCACTTTTCATGCTTTCATTCCTCTGCAAATGCTGTTTCCTCTCCTTAAAATGTCACCTGAAGAAATATTGATCCTTCCTTCAAAACTCAGCTCAAATGAAACCTTCTCCAAGTAGAAAAGAATGTCCCTGACATTCTTACGCACTGACATCCACTTATTCGGCACCTAGCACACAACAGAGGAGCAACAGTCATTGTTCAGTAGATTAACTACATTTTATTTGTTTAGACATCCTAGAGGAAATGTCAGAATACCCAGTACAGTACCTGAAACAGTATATACTCATTGATGGCTTGCTAAATAAGTGGATTCTATTTTAAAATACTTTCATACAGTCAATAAATACTTGTTATTTGTACAGTGTTAGGCAGTGGGGATACAGAAATGAATAAATGCAGATAGATCTTTAAGAAGCTAAAAATCCTGTGGGGAGGATAGGCAAGAACATCAATAATCACAGTGCAGAGTAAGTACTTCAGATAGAAGCACACCGAATATTCTGAGGGCTCGAAGGAAGAGGCCGCCAAAACCCTAACTCCTACATGTGCAGTATAACAGAGCCCCACAAACTACACTTCTGTAATAATGCACAAAGTTCTTGTTTAAAGTTTCTATAAAGATTTTCAGGAAGAGTAGGTGACAAAAATTACACTTCCTAGAACGATAACAGTTACATACTTTTTCTGCTTTAGCCTCCAGTCCTCATGAAAATTTGGCATAGAAACTTTAAAAAGGAATTTTACAGGATACGTATGAAACGAAAATGTTGAGTCTTTGGCTGAGTTTACTGCAGACCAATGAAAGGACTGTTTGTTAAAATTTCAGCCAGCGAGACTGTAAAAAAAAGTTTCAAGTCTCAAAAATACAAATAATCATGCCCTCAAGCATTTGCCATTTTATGAAGGTAAAGGATTTACATCTGTCTTTATTAAAAAAATAGACTGCCTGTGATTAAAATTACTTTGAGGCTAACCCTGTCATCATTATGATTCTATGTTAAAATTTTTGACATTAAAAGAAAAAGCATATAATCTGAAGGTTGTCAGAATTCATCCCTTAAGATTTAGGACTATTATATTTCTAATAAATAGAAAATATTCATGTGATAAGAGTCTGTAATAGTTTTAAGCTAAGGAACACTAACATTAACAAAGAACACTAACATTTATATATATATAAATATAGAGAGAGAAACATATAAACATACATATGTAACAGTGAATATAAGACATGAAGTTGAAAAGTTTCAACGTATAAAGATGAGTTACCAAGACCCTACACACAAGAGTATAAAATCTTTGAGGTCAGTAAGTATTTTTCACATTTGCTTGTATCACCCAAAGACCTTAACAAAATACAAACATTTAGAAGGCAGACTTTAACATTTGATTGTTAAGGCTGAATGTGAAATCTTAAAAAAAAAAAAAAAAAAGGACTAGTTCTCAGATTCAGAGAATTCAATGAGTTTTCAATTTTTGAAACCAACTATTTTTTCTAATTCCTTGTCCAATAAACTACCATACACTGTAAAAGAAAAACATTATTTTGGAAATATAGTGAAATGGCAACAAAATATTTGGTAACGATTTTTGACAAAATCCTTAGAACAAGATTTGTAATTTTTTAATGGTTACTTTCATAGCTATCGGATAGAGGGAATGGTAAATCCACAGTAACAATGCCTTCTGAAAACAAGAAGTCAGGAATTTTTTTAAGCTGTACCTATTAACAGACTGATTTCATTAGAAAAATCTGGAAAGGACAAACTCACTTTCACAAGCAGCTTAAGTGTTTTTTATGGAAGAGAAGTATTTACAAGCAGTTTATTAATAAAAGTGCTTCCATGGCAAAATTCTTTCTATAATCCTCAGTTTATTACATACGAATCATTAGGTTAGATACTGAGTCCTATAAGTTATATTTCCCATTTAAAGCAAATGATGACAGTATGGAAGTTGTGAGAGTGTTGTCAATTTAATAACCTTGTAATTTACTGTATTAAGCAGGATTCTTCTGAGAGTGAAATGGGGGAGTTATTAATAATTCTACCACAACAGGCATACACTGGTACTGAGCCTGGCAAACCAGGAAGTACGCTCATCCTTGCTTAGAGAATAACATTCTAATTAGTAATACTATTGTTGCACTTTTAAATTAGTTTCACAAATAAAACTTGATTAAAGAGGGAATAAATATTAACATCTCCTTACCAATATCAATGTATTTGGGATCCAGGGGTGTGCCAATAGAATTACAAAGAACTAGCACAAACTGTGAACAAATAAAACAGAAAATATCAAACCTCTTGCTTATGTACTTTCAATAAAAGAAATAATGTTTAACAGAACACGCTTATCTCTTTTTCAAGTATCACTAACATGGAAGTAATTGATAAAATTAAGTGCAAAGAATAGCAAAGATAATCTACAGCATCAAAAATAAAGAAATATGAATTAAAATTAAACCAAGGCTGATTTCTCGATTTAATGGAACATTGGTTTTTAAGAGATCAGTTAAGAAACACAAGTACACTGGCTACTTTTCACCATTTATACTTCTAAAATTCCTCATCAGCTACAACCTTAAAACTCATTTTTATCCTATATCCAGCTATATAAGAGCTAACTTAATTTGTTACCGTTGCACCAAATGTTTCCATATCGTTCTCCTCCTTTGAAGCAATATATAAATGATAGAAATTAAAAACAAAAGTCAGTTAATTGAGAAAAAACAAAATCTAACCTAATGAAAATAACTTATGCCCAGTGATTCACACACACACAAATAATTATCAATAATTAATATTAGGAAAAATAATCAAGCACAATACACACTTTACATTCTAGTAATAATTTCTTTTTTTTTTGCCGTCAGTCACCTTCTCTATATCCAGTACTAAGAATGTTATTTTACATAGACATTTTCCTGATTAGAATAACTTCAAATAAGCCAACTTTTAATGCATGTAGACTTTTTCTTTTCTCAGTACCTCAAGTAAAACTTGTTTAATTTCATCCATGTAAACTAAATAAGGATTATACTAAAATATCATAATTTATTCTTTCACTACCTAAAATAAGCTTATTTACTGTCACAAAATACAAATGTTTTACATATTTATCATTCACATGATCAAATAAGACTTCTTATCAAAAAAGGAAGTCCCCCCATCCCCACAACTTCCCGTTTTTTGCTCCCTAGAGTATGTCCAGCTCCTGTACGTCATCCTTTTGATATTTACCTCCACATATCTAAGTAACATGCTTACAACGCTACTTTTGCTTCAGTCTGGTGCATTAAGTAACCACTACCCACCAGGACAGCTACGTGTGGAGCCCTCCTTCACCCCTCTTTCCCAGGCTCCTATCACACAGCAGCACACACCCATCCCTCCATCGTTCCACTATAATTTTGTTAAATCAGGATTTCGGTTTTAAAATCTTCATTATACTTCAATTTTCAAAAATGTTTAATTTTAAAAAATCCAGTTGAGAATAGCATTTTGACTATTTTGGCCCACAGCTGAGTCAGGTATAACATGATTTATTTTCCTTTCAAGCATATTTTGCTTTCCTTGTAGTGGATAATTGTCTTTTTTTTTTTTCTGTGCTTAGTTTTCTTGGTATTTACTACTAACTCAAGTCCACAGTTATCCCCCAGTTTGTATGCCTCCCCTCAAGAGTTAAACCACATTAAGTATTCTATTAATTTCACCTTGAATTTCTTTTGGAGCCACGTGGCCTGTTCTCATTTGACGACTGCCTCGGCATGTGCATAACTGTCAGCGGGTACCACTCTTTACCACTGTTGTCAGGTGACCCTGTTTCTTCCTCTTTCTGTTTATTCTTCATTTTGGTGAACCATATCCTGAAGTAACTTCCTAAGATAAGGAAGCTTGGAAGGTATATTTTTGGTGATCTTGTATATCTAAAAATGTCTGAATTCTACCCTCATATTTCATTAATAATTTGCTTAAGGTGTGGAATTCAAGATGGGAAGTCATTTTTTCCTCAGAAATTTGAAAGCAATTCTCCAAAGTATTGAGGCTGACAAGTCGAATGCCATTATGACACCTGATCTGGTGAAATCTGTCCTGGGAACCAAGTGGGAAAAGAAGCCTGGGGTAGCATTATTCAACTGCCCTGTTCTCAGCAAGTTCCTTCACCCTTCCCGATGCATGGTGCCCTGCAGTGCAGACTCTGTGCCCTCTCTGGGGGCAAACCAGTCTCCCCTGGAGGTAGAAGGGCAGCTCCCTATGAGCTCAGTAGTGGGGAGGGGATCTAGAAATCTGCTTCTTTAGATGCCCCTCTTTTTTCCCCAAAGTTTTCTCCTGCCTGCATAATCTCTGGTACTTTCAAATTGCTTTTCTGTTTGTTTCTTTCTGCTGTGAGGTGCCATCAAGTCCTGTGTCTCTTTGGGATTCTATGACAAAAACTAGCTGCTGCTTTGCTTTCTCCACTAATGGCTGAGGATCTCATTTTCCCTCGGTCTGCTAAGGTAATTACCACTAATCCACCTACTTTCTAACCCCTGAAATTATGATGCCGTTTCCTCTCCCTTTCTGGTCCCTATGGGCGTATGGCTTTTTTAAAAATACTTTTCCTGTTGTTTTAATGAATTTCAGGAGAGAAGAGAGCCAAATGTGGCTGTTCAAATGGCCACCCTAAACTAAAAATTCTATACTTTTTAATGTGATAAAATAATTTATAACACAAAGATAAAGGAGTCCTTTTTTGAAAAATTTGTATATTTCTGGAAACATTTACATTTATAGCATTTTTTAAAAGGGCATTATTTATATTATTTATTTTATGAGACATTGATTTTTTAAGTAATATAACTCCACATAAAAGTACATTTCTGAATGTCAAAGCTACCCAAATTGTTATAAATGGTCACTGTTACATAATTTCTTGAGCATTTGTACTAGACATCTGGTTATTCATTTTTGCTTATGGAATTTTAAATTGGAAAAGAACTGTGGTATTTTAAATATATTCCAGAGACAAAAAGCTTCAGTACTGGTCAGTATGAACTGCCAGTGGATTAACTGATTGGAGAAAAAATCAGGGAACACAGAACCAATGGCGTCACATAGTTTTCCAAGTCTAGACAGACCTGGCCAAAAGACCCAATACTTTGCTATATCTGTCAGTATAGAGGCCATGCTTGAGAAGATGGATAACCATAGCCCAATTCTGCCAAGCAGTTAACCCACCTAAGTTTTAAGACATCAAGGAACACCTACCTGAGGATGATTTTCATCAGCTTTTGTAGCCAAAATGCAGAAATCTCCACAAGTAGTAATAGAAATGAGACTCTTGACATATTTAACATATTTCTCATTGTTTTTTGTATCCCAAAAGATAACGCAGTACTCTGGACGATCAGGTCTGGTATACGCATAAACTACAGTGTTTGAGCAGTAACCCCACTGTGGAAGGAGGGAAGGGAGGGAACAGAAGGAGGGGAGATAGGAGGGAAGAGAGAGAAAGGCAGAAAGAGAAATTACCATAGGAAAAGTCATATTATTACATTTCCTTCTAGAAATATTACAGATATGTGGTTTATCAGTGGTGACAAAATCCATTCTTTAGAAATGGAAGCGATAAGGGCTGAATATTCAGCTTAAGACCTTTTCTCACTAAAATAACAAAAAAACTAAGAGTAATAAAGACAGTTTAAAAATATGCTTCAAAATAAATTTAGTTTAACTTTCCTTATTTTAATTTGTAAGATTTAAGCTTCAGTGGTGAAAATTTCAGATTTTTCAGCAGTCAACAACAGCTGCTTGGGGGCAACAGAAGGAGTGACCCCTGCCAGAGTTCAATTCTGAGTCCCCAAACCAAAATTCAGAGATAGGTCCTCTGCCTCTTTTATCCCATCCTTAAAAAAATTTTAGATTTATATAAAAACTGCAAAAATAGTATAACAATCACTATGCTATACACCAGAAATTAACACATAGTAAACTGACAACACTTCAATTAAAAAAATTAATAAAAAATAAAAATAAAGGGACTTGTACTAATGTGAAAAATGTGATTAAAAATAAACCAATTAGTCATTTCAACTCAAAAAAATTTGCAAAAATAGTACAAAGTTCCCTATACTCTACTTATTTTCCCCTACTGTTAACATCTTACATTACCGCAGTACATCCGTCTCAACTGAAACCAACACTGATACATTACTACTTACTGAACTCCAAACTTAATTTAGATTTCATTTGGTTTTCCCTAATATCCTTTTTCTAATCCAGAATCCCAACTGGAATACACCACATTTAGTCATCATGTCTCCTGAGGCTCCTCTGGGCTGTAATGGTTTCTCAGTCTTCCCTGGTTTCTGATGACCTTGACAGTGTTAAGGAGTACTAGTCAGGTATTAATGTAGAATGTCCCTCAATTCAGGTTTGTCTGCTGCTTTTCTCAGGCTTAGAAGGGGATCATTGGTTTTTGGGGAGACCACCCCACAAGTGAAGAGCTCCGCCCATCATGTCACCACAGGGGTATGTGAGCTCCACGTGACATCACCGATGACGCTGGCCTCGCTCTCCTGGACAAGGTAGTGCTTGCCAGGTTTCTCCGCTGCAAGTCACTTTCTTTTTCCCCCTTTCCATACTCTGCTCTTTGGAAGTGAGCCACTAAATGCAGTCCAAGTTGGGGGAACGGGAGGGACTACACTCCACCTCCTGGAGGGTGGTGTCTGAGTAAGTTAGAATACTTCTGTAAGATTTGTTCCTTCTCCCCCATTTATTTATTTAATAATTTATTGACATTGGTTTGTACTCATGGACATTTATTTTATAATCTGGGTGACAATCCAATGTTACGTCATTTATTTCGTTGCTGAGATTGTTCCAGCCTTGAGCTCTTTCAAGTTGCCTCCTCTGTCCCTTTGGCACACCCCCACCTTTCTGTTTTGAGCACTTCCTTACTTCCTGGCACTATAAGATGCTCCAGGCTCATCTTTCACTTTCCCCACCCTAGTTCTAGAATCAGCCATTTCTCCAAGGTGCTTGACCTTTAAAAATTAAATATGTAAGTCTTTTCACAACAAATATTCTTAGTAGTTTACCAGATCAATCTCATACTTCAGATCTTGTTACGATTCAAATGTTAACTTTAAGGTAAAATACTGGTTAGTTATTACACTGCTTATTCTTATTTTCTCCTGATCCACTTTGCCCTTCTCTACCCTGCTCTCTGCCCTGGAGGATGACTTCTGTGAACTCCATCACCTGAGCTACCTCGCCTTCTGTTTTCCAGCTGGGTTTGGCCAACAGAAGGCACCAGCAGGTAGAGAACTGGGTGAAAGTATTTGTTCCCCCAAGCTGTCTCTGCCCAGCCGGCTAGCGGTGGCTGTGCTCCCACAGGGCAGCCCCTCTTGCACAGCCACCACGCCAGTGGGTCCCAGGAACAATACTCCTTCTCTTGCCCACTGCTGCTAGTCCCTGGGTGCTGGCCTTGTCATCCCTTACTGGTCCCCTTAGCCCTGACCATACTGCTGTAATAAACCCTTCATGAATCTCTCTTCGATTACTTCTCTGTTTCCTGCTGAGACCCTGACTGCAGGAATAATTTTACTAATTATATACAGTATCCTAGAAAAGCTTACTAGTTCTAAGGTCTTCACACTAAAAAAGCCTCCTTTCAACTGGCTTCTAAACAAAATGGCTACGAATATAAGCAAGAAACAGACATTATACTTCCCGCTATTACAAAACTATTTAGTAAAAAATATCTCTTTTTATAACTGCTCATGATACTTACCTTATAATCAGGTCGAATATTTGCAAAATATATAAAAGAATCAACAGCTAGTGCAATTTTCAGTCCACCTCCTTCCCAGGATAGTGCAGACATCTGCTTTCCAGGAACCTTCAAAGTACCCAGATGCTGAAAAAAAAATTATTATATTTAACCTAAATTATCACAATTAAATAAATAAAATCACTTCACAGAGATCAGAAGTGGTACAAAAAATATTTTGTGAAAGATTGCTACATACTTCAAATCATTTTCCTTCAATTTTTATAATGAAAAACAAGTATTATGATAGAAGTTTACAAACCAGAGCCGAAGAATTCAGTATCAAATTTCATCAAACCTAAGATTGCAGAGATTTAAATATGTATCTTTATTTTCATGTACAACTAAGGAAAGAAAAACACACTGCTAATTAAAATAGGGCAACTTCGATTATAAGATGCATCCCAATTTTAGAGTTGTAAAAACTGTGCTTTGTAGAATCTGTGAAATATTGGAGTAGTAAACTCAATCCTTAAGTCTTGCATCCCGTTCATCTCCACCCCACCCACAACAGCCAAGCAGTCAGCAAGCCCTATTGCTTTCACCCCTTTCTGTCCTCCACTACAGCTGCCTCCTTTCTTGGCTGAACTATGGTAATAGCCTCCTAACTGCAATTTTTACCTTTTGCCTCTTTATCATTCCCACCCCTCAAATTCAGTCTCCACTCCGATGCCACAGTTATCATTCAGGAACACAAATCCAATCATATCCTACTCTGCTTTAAAAAATGTTTAATAATTTTAAAAAATCAATAGCTCACCATCACATTCTTTAGCATAATATACAGTGCCTTTCCTCTTTGCCCAAAACTCTTTGGTTCAGCACCCTACTAGTTAGCCATAATGACTGTGTTCTCACACAGGAGGGAACGCCTGTGCCTCCATGCCTTTGGCCTATATAGTATCTCTTCCACCTGAAATCATCCTTCCCTTTCCCCTACGCCTCGCCTATCCTGTTTCTCATCCTCCTGGAGTTCTCCTAGGCATCTTAAACAGATACAACTTAAATATTACTTCCTGCCTTCTTCCCTCCCTCTCGGGTTCCAGAGAATTCAGACAGAGAGCTACTTGAGAGCACTAACTTTATCATATCCACATTTATTTCCCTATCCCTTAATAGATTCCTTGGTAAACAAGTATTCAAAAAAATATCTATTACGTAAATTAATGCAGTCAAATTAATTTCTTCATATACTAACACATTCTATTTTATGGCTAAATTTACAAATGAATAAACAAATACAAAGGCTTTTTTAATGTGGCCATGGAAAGAAAACATTTTTAATCTTTGCTTATTTGACACAAGAGTATAATCCCTAGAATTTTAATAAATCATCCTGGTAGCCATTGTTCTTAAGTAACTATGCTCTAAAATCAAATATATTAAACTGTATTTTGCCAGGGAAATCAATGGGGGAAAGAAGGTTTAACCTAGGAGGGTCCACTCTATCTGTCCTGCTGCCTGTATGAAGCCAGAGGGAATAAGCAGGCTCTCACAACATCACTCTTGGTACTGACAACCCGCACTGCGAGAGCAAGGCCATCTCCCAATGCCGCAAACACGCCAGGCGGTGGCAGCAGCAGGGGAGAAACCAACTGTTAGTAAACATTCATTGAGCACCGTGGTAGACATTTTCCCATTGTCATCTCTTTTAATTTTTACAACAATGTCATGAGGTGTTACCTTTATTTCAGGAAATAAGTAAACTGAGTCTTAGAAGTTAAATGACTTCTCTAAGTGAAACTACACTGTAGAAAGGGAATTCAAAGCCAAAGCCAGGTCAACCTGACTACAAACCACATGCTCTGTTATCCCCTCCCATGGCTAAGACCACACTGTGAAAACCAGAAGACCCTAGCCCTCAAAATCAAAAGCAAATACTTCTCTGAGGTTTTCCTTAAGTTTAAATCTTCAGAGGTAATCTCCTTCCAAGTTACTTTCTCTATCTTAATAACACAGATCCAAAAACAAATCCCTCATATATTCACTCATTCAAAACACAACAAAACAAAAAAATATTAAGTGACTAAATACCTCAAGGAACTATGTTAGATACTTTTAATTATAACTATACTGAAAACTACTTACAGTTTTCGGTTTAACACATAACACGTTGATTTGCAAGACAAAGCAAGAAGACCTTTGAATGCATGTTTTTATACTTAGAGAAGACCAAACTAACAAGAATAAGCTGGTAAAATAATATAAAGATAAATCAGACAATGACAACAAACAAAAATAACCAATAAAGAACATGAATTAAAAAGGAGGCTATCAACATCGAGATAACTAGAATTCAGATTTTTAATTATTTAGGAACCTTGAGAACTATGCTTTTGTTTTTCCTTAGCTTTTACATCTACCAGAAATATTATTAGCTGACAACGTACAGAGAGTACCTGCTCTTGAGAGCACACTGTACTGGGTAACTTTCAGCATCAGCTAACACCATTTCTTACCCTTAGAAAAATTATGAAAATACATAAAAATATTAATATTAAAATAGGAGAGCAACTGGTATAGGCTTTTGTGTAGCCAAAAATATGTATTATAGAAGTCTATGATGAATTTATAAAAATCAACAGGATGTCCAAAAGAGACTGAATATAGTCTAAAGTTAGAAAATAAAATAGGCAAAAATGTATTAAGTTTAGTTACTACCAAGTTCTCATTTTCTAAATTCTTTAAAATGTACAATATATGAATCCTCTTACTTGATCTTTTCTACTGCTGCTTAAAGAAAATTCTCTTCAAAAATTAAATTTATTAATAACACTATTGAGGAAGATAGCACATGTATTTATGAAAACAACACCTATATTTTAATGTAGCATCACCTAAGATTAATTATTAAGATAGATTTTCTTAAAATAATTGTTTATTCCCCAGCAAATTAAAACTATTAGAAGTTTGGGAAAAGGACACACAGATATGTATATTTAATATCTTTGCATATTTCATATATCATATTAAAACCCCCAAAATTAACCTCGAACAACTAAATTATACTAAAAATAACTCAAAAACCAGCTGTAAAAGGAGATGCATATTCAGATCACAGAGAAAATATTCTCAGCTACTCCCTAGTGATTTCTTATGTGAAACATCTGGTTTTCTAAATGTACAGATTATCAAATAAATTCCATGATAAAATACAACCATGAAGACTTATAATATGGGGATAACATTCAAAGACATTCACCTGATGGTTCATCATTTTTACTTGAAATGTCCCTTTTAAAAAATGTGACAAATTCATATTCCTCCCTCCATTCAGTTTCCCCCCTTACTCAGTGCATATTTAAATAGAAAGAAGACAAAACCTTTAATACACTTACCTCACCAAATGGAGTGTAAAACTGTACAATGTTTACATCTTTATCCTGAGTGATGGCCTTCTGGGAGCCTGCAACAGCTAGCACACTGCCAATGTGGTTCCACTGGATGCTGACTACATACATGCCAGTATCAATTAAAACAGGATCTAGTCAAAAACAAAAAATGAAGTAATTATAGTGAAAAACTTAGCCAAGAGAATTTTATCATCTTAAAGACAATTTTAAAATATTTTTTTAATTCTCCACATTAAAAAAAAAGAAAAATTACATACTTTGGTCATTTTCATGTCTCATTATTTGGCATCTCCCATTGTCAAAGCAAATAGCAAGGCAAGGGCAATCTGGCTCCACGTAGCCTTCTGTGCCGTGGTACCAATGAATTCCAGCAATACTGATTGCTCCAGTGACATTCACTAAACAACTGAGTTTCATTTTCATCTAAATAAAATCAGTTAGGTTAGTATTTTATATTTTAAAACAGGAGTCAGTATGAATCATAGTGTTATATAAAGAACACTGAAAAAATTTAAAAATCTGGTTTGGGATGCAAGCTCCATCACTTATTGGTTTACCAATCATGGACAAATCACTTTACCTGAGTTTCAGTTTTCCCCATTTGTAAAATGAAGATAAAAAAAAAAAACGCATAGAGTTTTTATGAGACTCAATGACACGAGGTATACAAAAGTGCTTTGAAAATAGCAAAGTGTCATGTAAAAGTTGGTTGGTTATTATCACTTTCACCAATGAGTGGATTTATGTAACGTCTTAACCCTCAGTAAAAACAAAAGTAGGGGGAGGGTGGAGCTCAGTGGTACAGTGCATGCTTAGCAGGCATGAGGTCCTGGGTTCAATCCCTAGTACCTCCATTAAAATAAATAAATAAATAAAAACCTAATTACCTACCCTCCCCCCTCAAAAAAACTGCCCCAGAAGTAAGGTCAGAGATCCATCACAGCCAGATCTCACAAAGACAAGGTTTTTCTTGATATTATGCTTCCTCAGCCTATTCTATTTTGTCTTCTTTTCAGGACCTGATGTTTAAGTCTTCCATCCTTTTTACAATCTTTAGTAGCTTGCTACAAAAATATCTTTGGTATCTCATGGAAACTTTGGCTTCAGGTATTAGAAGACACAAAGATTAAACCACACATCGTCCTACTCATTATCCCTCAGCTTCAATACACTGAGGTCTTGTCCTTTCCAGCTACCAGAAAATCAGAATTAAAAGCATTAATTTACCTTAAAGCAACCCAGAAGTTTTTTTAATTAAAAAATTTTAGATGACTGGAGGAAAACCTGAATTGAAGACTTTCTTGACTACATAAACTATCATAATAAATAAATGTGTATACATATGTGAATGATATAGAAAATAATCATCAACAATAAAACTGTATAAATAAAAGTAAAGAATATATATACTTACTATAAAATTCCCCTGATTATCATAAATGTGTATTTCTCCATTTGCCATTCCAAAAAGTAAGATTTTGCTATCTGCGGACCAGGCTACATGGCACAACTGTATACCCTTCAGGTCTTTTCCCCAAATGCGATTCCCTAAAACAAAACATAAAACATAATCATTTCATTAAAAGTTCAAGGTCATGATTCTCCAATAACCTCTCTAAAAATCTTTGTTTCCTGAAAAAGCTCTCACACTCTTCACAGCATTCATGCATTTGTTCAATTTATTCAGTCAATACTGAGCACCTACTATGTGTCAAACACCCTACTAAGCATCTGAAATAGCAGCTGTTTCCAACTTTCTTCCTTCTCTTCTAAACTCTGACTCAGAACCTCACTCCTACTCACTTCTACTTTGGGAAGAAAATAAAAGCTTTCATAAAAGATACCCCCATTCCCACTTTCAAACATTCGGAACAGAACTGAATCCACTTATCCTTTCTGCTTTGCCCCCTAATACACAGAAAGAGGAATGTCCTCAGTCAGACACTAATCTAGGCTAATATCCTAATTTCATCACATACTAACTCTTCTCCCCTTTCATTTTATACTACACTGATTTTCAAAATTGTTTCAATACCCTAAACATGGGTAAGTTCAACTCCTCTGGACCTCCTCAAATGCTGTTTCTTAGGTCTAGGATATTGTACACACCAACCTTCCTTGTAGCTAATGCCTCAGCATAAACATCACTTCCTCCAGGATGCCCTCCCTGATCCCTCTGATTCTGGGCTGCATACTTCTTCCATGTGTTGCTGTATTTTCCCTCCCTTAGCACCTATCACGAGGCATTGTAATTGCTTGGTTACTTACCCATCTCTCCTGATCCAGATCTGAAATTTTTTTTTGTTGTACCTAGTGCCTAGAACTACAGCTGTCATTTTGAAGGCTCTCAGAAAATTTACTTTTTTCTGTACAAAAAAAATTTTTTAGTAAATTATTTCTCTAATGGACAGAAGTTCACACTAAAACAAAAGTCCAAACTCTTAGAAGCCCTAGTGTTATGGATGAACTAGAATTTTAAAGATACAGGTTTTTAGCCTACAAAACACAGCAATGTCATGCTCAGTTCTATTAAAAAATGACCAGGTGATCATTTCATAATATATAAAAATACTGAATCATTATGCTATACTCCTGAAACTGTTATATATCATTTTCATCTCAATGTTTAAAAAGTGATTGTTAGACCTCTACATACTTTTTGAAATATTTACATATTTATAATACAGTCTAACAAATGTAAAGATAAGTCATATAATTAGGTAGATATATTTAAAATAATTCTGAAAAACTCTTTTTTTCCAGTGCTACTGTAGGAAACTTTTAAGTTGATTTTTTTTTACCTGAATATACTTGAAAATAAATGATTCTTGAATGTCATCAAATTGTACGGCAACTATTTTCCCTTTTCATGTTCATTTTCCTGTCAGAATGCTAACATATGACAATTAATTTAAACCTCTAAAGATCAAAAATGTCAGCTAAATCTTGATCTTAGCTCTAGGTGCAAAAATGCATTACCGTCCACAGAACCAACTATCACAGCCCCATCTTCGTACACGATGCAGATCTTCTGTCCGTCGGCATTCCAGCTCATACTTCGAACCACTGATTTGTTCCTATTGTTGATCATCTCCTCATACCATGAGCCTGTTTTCACAAATAAAAACAAATTACAAGTCAAAGCTCCCATCTAATAAATGGTACTTCAGAGTTGAAAACATGCCATAAAATACACAGTGGGATAAATAAATGCAAAGTTTTCTACAACTTGACACATCAAACTATAAAATCTTCAAATCCAACAGAACAAGATGCAAAAGTAACTTAGGTCTTAACTAATAATTGCTTCAAAGGTTATCACAGAAAACACAATAAATGCCCATCTTTTTTTTCCCTCTTTCTTGCTTTTTCTCTTTCTTTTTTTTTTTACATTTTCCCGATTTATTTTAATTTTTTTGTTCAGAATGAATTTTTTTTTTAATTAAAGTACAGTTAATTATAATGTATCAGCCTCTGGTATACAGCACAATGTCCCAGTCATGCATATACGTACATATATTCATTTTCATAATCTTTTTCTCTTTCTTTTTTTCTGTCAATTGAAAAATAAAACTTCATTTGCTTTGGAAGAACCAAAACAATTGATTTTCCTCAAAGCCCAACTTTTCCCACTTGAGCACATCTCACATAACAAGGAAAAAAACATAATAACTACAATACCTTTATACGTATGCATAAACTCTCCAATGATTGATTATAGGCGTATTAAATATCAGCATATTATGTAAAAACTCTAAGCCTGCCTGAAAAAATTTAAGCTGTTCATATCACACTAGCGATATCACATCACTAATGCTGAGTGACAAAAACGTTCTTGTACATGGGACTGGAGTGAGATGTGACCTGACTTAAGGTATAACCAAATGTGAGACAAATCACAAGGCCATTTTGTTTTGTTTTTGTTTTTAAAAGGCTTTACTACATTATGGTACAGGGAACTCTGGCTTGAAGCCAGGCAAATAATCACGCGATGTGGAATAACTAGTCAGAGCAGGGTATCATCAAGTCAAGACTGAGGCTCAGAGAAGACCTACTTTGGAAACAGACAAAGTTTAATCTCCTGTACTTTCACATCCTACTACCTACACACATACACACAGACATAAACTCTAAAAATAAATAAATGAATTCATGTACTACAGCATGTTTTAATTGAGAATATTTAAAAGGCATACCCTAAAAGTTTTCAAAACAACACATATGAACTAAGGGGCCCTGTTCATTTAAAGATGATGGCTACAGGCCTCAAGAGAATGTGTATTATTAAGTTATTTTTCTGGTAACAGTGATGCACCTAAATTAATCCTTCTCTCTCTCTTGTAGGCAAAAGGCACAACTTGTGAGCCAGTAGTCAGAGCTGAGATAAAATCTGTATCTGTGGAAGAAAAGGAAGCTAACTGACTCATTAAAGGAAATGAATTATTGCCTTTGACTTCTTCATAAATATGTTCTTATCTACTGAACTAACTATAGCCACCGACCACAGAGAAACCAATTTTTACTGGAAAACTGAAAAAAGAAAAAGAAAAAAATAGGCTATCTCAAGCAGAAACTATACTGCTAAGAGTCTTAAGTTCAGTTTGGAGATAATCAACAGTCACCTAATTCACCTTCTTAACGCAAGGTCACAGTTCAAAAGAAATAATGTTAAAGGGAAGAGTAGGCAGCCATAAATTCCGAAATATCATCCCTGTGAACTCCTCCTGTTGCTGGTTAAAAAAGGGTCTATTTAAAAGAAGTTATTTCCCCATTCAGATACTGTAATCCAGACTCCATTTTGTGAAAGATTAAATAAACTCTCCCAATATACCTTTATATAACATCCAAACAATGATAAGACCATTTTGATCACTGGTAGTCAACTTCTGGTATTGTTCATTCCATGTGACAACTTGAACAGAACCTAAAAAATTATAAAACAGTTTAGAAACCAAAAAGGAAGCCACAGTTAATTTCGAATTTATATTTTTACAGTAAATACCAAGGGCAGATTAAAATCAATACTGTTCCTGGGCAACTAACCAGTCTTTAATATTACTCAAAAATATTCACAGGATGTAGTTACTATTATTACTCATTTCTACAACAATGCATAATCCTATTTTACATGTTTATTTCTATTTCATGCCAGCTAAAATCCCTGTAGGATCAGCTGCAAGAGCTGCCATTATATCTGAGGACAGAAACAAATGTAAGTAAAATCTACCCAATTTGCCTGACTCCCAAGGATTATGATGCCCAAAGGACACCATACTAAGTACTTTTTTTTGGTCAGGGGAGGGGGTGGATATTTGTTTGTGGTTGATATGTCCCCTATTTCTCTCCCCCCCCCAACCTTGTTTTCCATCCTATTAGTAACAAACTCTTAAGCATATCTTAAACTTCTGGGCTATATGACCAAATGGGGTTTCTTTTAGTTTTTAATCCCTAAATATTTTAGTGTGTATATCCTAAGAACAGGGGCATTTCTCTTGTAAAACCATTTTACAAATTAGAAAGTTTAGTAATGGTACAATATTATCTAACCCACAGCCCACTTTCAAGTTTTATCAACTGTCCAAATAATGTCCTTTATAGATACTTGTTTTTGTCATTTCATGATTCAGTCTAGGCTCATGTAGTGCATTCAGATGCCTCTTTAGTCTACTTTAATCTGGGACCAAGGATAGACTCCAAAAAAGGATTATATCCTATCCATAGGCAGATATCAGTATTTTTAATATATAAAATAGCTACTTTTTTTCACATCTGTTGAAGATGTTATTTAATCATCTGAAAGTTGGTGAATGACTCTATGTATTAATTATGGCTAAATAGAAATGATTTCTTAAAATATTACCATTATTTAAAAGGATGACATTGTTGCATTAAGTAGACAGTTTCTAAATTCCTAAAGTTAATACTATTCAAATATGATTTAAAAATTTACATGACTCACCACTATGACCTTCAAGAGTCTGATTCATAGAAAGGTTACTAGGGGCTGCAAGACCCCTCAACTTCCCATCATCTAAAAAAACAAAACCAAAAAAATATTATGGCAAATATCTAAGTGGCAGATTATAAAATTTTGACATTTCTTGCTTTTTTTGAAAGGAGTTCCTATTCCCGGATAATATTAGAAAGATTTCTTTTAAGTATGCCTCATTCTGATCCGCTTTTCTCATGGTGAAAACATGGACAATAACATGTACCCTCTTGCAAAGATGTTTTTCTGGAAAAATAAAGCAAAAATGTGTAAAGGATGTTGTTTATTCAGTATACTAAATATATAACTTATTATTATTGTTACTTATTCCTTCCCCAAAGATAAAACATAAAAATATTTATGAGATACAGATTGAGAACTCTAAGGCATAAGATTGATCAAAAAGCAAAGATTTTGGAAACTGGTTTTTACTAGATTTTACAGAATCTTGTATTTATTCATTCATTCATTCAACAAATATTTATTGAATGTCCACACTGCCCTATGTAATGTGGAAGGTTCTGAATATAAAATGATGAACAAAATAGTTAAGGCCTCTCCCTTCAGAGAGCCTGGAGTCTACTGAGGGGACAGATATTAAATACACCCTCACACACCCACATAACTATTTATATATATATAATTATAAACTGGGGAAGTAAAGGTATAAAAAGAGGCAGTAACAGAAGGGGATTAATTTAGATTGGACGGAGGGAGAACCAGGGAAGGATTTCTGAAGAAATGATATTTATGCTGAGACTGAGGGAGAAACTGGAAAAGCCAAGCAAGGCAGGGAAAGGGGGGCAGTATTCCAGGCTAGGAAACAGCGAGGCAAAGGCCCCTGAGTAGAAGTGTAGAGCCTCTGACAAACTGAAAAAAGGCCAATGTGGTTGAACTGGGGGAGAATGGCCCAAGATGAGGCAGAAGTGATGGGCACAGGAAAAAATTAGGAAGTCTTTGCAGGAAACAATAAAAAAAATTTTTTTAGATTTTATCCAAAGAGCAATGTATGCCTTTAAAGACTTTTTTATTTAAAATGACTTATTCTCCTTGATTACTAATCATATTATAGAGAATAATACATTAATATGTCATCTCAGTACATTAATCTTCACTTAGAAAATCTGACTAATACATGTAAAATACAGCATTTAAAACATCTACTTAAAAACACGAACTTATGAAACTCTTTTAAGAATTTGTGAGAATGGGAATTATAGAAGTTGCTGCTGAATAAAATTCTACTTTCAAATAACATGTATGTTAAAATATTATGAAAAATATCCTTTATTCTGAAAACAATCTCAGAAAAAAATACCTGAGTTCCTCTAAAACCACTAGTTCTAATTATCCAGTTACTGTCTTGGTAACATTACCAAGAATGCACATATATAACATCACAATCATCTGTCAAACAATTAAGACAAAATAAATGTTGTTGATATACATTAGGCGGATCATTATTTTTTAACAGAAGGTTCTTTCACTCATTGAATTGCTTAAAAATTGTTCTACACACTTAAACCGTATTCTAGTATTCTAGAAACATTTGATAGAAACATGTTTCTTATAGCATTGAAAATCCATTCTAATGCCTATAGTGATAGTCACTGTAACCAAGTGAAATTAATGATATGTGATTCTAAGGGTTTACAGGACCTAACATATCTGAAAGTGTGATGAAATAGTTTCATCTTTCCCTTTATTTATATGGTCTGAATTCATAATTCTGCACAGCAGGCATACTTTCTCTTTGTTAAACTATTAAGTAAAGGACTCTTCACAAAATATATTCTGACAGATGAGAATAATTTTTTGGAATTTCACTTTACATGTTGAACAAGTATAATCCACATCGAAACATTGTCTTTTGCTGGCAGCAACTCCAGAACTTGATCATGCAGAAAATTTTGCAAAATTCATCTGAAAGTTCTGATGTTAAAAAAAAAAGCCAAAAGTTTTCAATGAGGTAGAGGTAGAGCAAAGCCACCAGTATCCCAAGACTCTAGTGAGTTACATTCCTAAACTCCCCATGACCAATGAGGAAACAAACCAGACTGGCACGGGAACAAAAATTGGGTAATACTGACAGAATTCTTCTAAAAGCATGTACCAATAACCCTTGGATGATGAAAGAAGACACCAATAAAAGAAGGCATTTAAAACCCATGAAAGATTTTTGTGGCGATGTCTAAATCTGAAAAATCAGGACTGGGCTGGGGATGTTTATTTAGGAATCATCACCCCACAGATGGCATTTAAAGCCATGGGAATGAAAGAATAAGTCTAAAGAGAATGTAAAATGACGAGAGCCCAGAACCAAGTTCTCAGGAATTCCAACAGTTAGAGGAAAATCTAGTAAAGAGATTGAGAAAGGAGGGAAAAGCAATATACAGAAATATAACAATAATTTTAAAACTTCAGTTCTCCTTTTGTCTTGAAAAACTATGATTCAAGACAGAAGGAAAGGTCAAATGCTGATAAGAACCAAAAATAAAAGCTGTCCATTGGATTTGGAACATGAAAATCACTGGTGAGGGAGAGAAAAGAGGGAGAAATCAAACTGAAACTCAAAGGAGAGAGAGGATAAAAAAGTAATGAGGTCCATGGAAGGAGGGAGGAGGTGGGCTCCAGCAAAACATATGGAAGTTGGCTTGTGAGAGAAGAAAGTTACCCACCCTCCCTGTCTTAACCTGATGGAAAAAGCTGCAGGCTAATGCTGGTTCTAGTTCCTTTCCTTCTAAGGCAAGGGAGTGAAAACCGGGTACATAACCACAGGGAATGCAAAGTAGTGCAAACTTCCTAGGAGATAAGTTGTCTAAACATACGAAGACGCTTTATAAATAAATGTACATGACCTTTGATCCAGTGGATTCCACTTCTAGAAATTTATCCTAGCAAGTAATTGAAGGTTTACACAAAGAAATATCTTTAATAAATATCTTTAGATATGAATATATTGTTAGAGACAACCTATATGAAGACATCTAAATGTCCAACACTAGAACTGGTTAAATAAACTATCATATATACCAACATAATGGAATACTAAAGAGCCATTAAAATGATGCCATAGAAGGTGTTTTATTGATGTAGAGGATTGTTACATTATATTGATGAATGATAATAACTTGGCTATTTTGTAGCTAAACTCCAAAATGGTACTTACAAAGTCACATCTTTGCATCTTTAGTACAACACAGTACTTCACATGTACTAGGAATGCAATATCTGGTAATTGTTACTGGAGGATCTGTTGTATCACAACTATGATTATTAAATACAATAGACTGAACTTTTAAGAATCTTCCAGCATTAGTTCTCTTATTTATCTCTTTAAAATATGATTTACACTCATTACGTTCCAAAACAAATAATTTACTCCATCTTTCAAGACGCTCAAGAATCTACATGCCATCTTGCTCACTAATTGCAAAGAATACTCTAACCATACTTCATCAAAAGTGCAGAACAGGAAAAGAAGTAATTTTTTTCTTGAAAAGTCTTCAATGTAAGTGCATTTCTTAATGTAACTAAAACTTCCTACATGTTTTAAGCAAAACAAAAAATACATACATACACATATGTACCTATATATTTGAAAAACAACAAAGACAAGAATTATTTTCTCTTAACACAGTTAAGAAAACTAAAGCACTGGGAGATTAAATTGCTAAACATCAGAGGTCAAACTCTAATTGGTACATAAGTATCTACCTTTCAAATCTGCCTTTTATTTCATAGAATTAATCTAACACATCAAAACAATTACTCTCTCTACTGAGGCTGTCCATGAGCCCTCTGTGTAGTGGTCAAAACCGAGGGCTTGAAAGTGAGACAAACTAAATTCTGACAGAAGAAATTTTCACATATTGAAGTATGGGGAAGTCATTCTGGCTTATTTATTATTTAACTTAAACTTTATGCTAACTAGAACAGCCTGTTTTGTAGCCTATCAAACATATCTTGTGTATCTGTTTTAATCATTAAAGCATGCATTGTCCAGAAGTAAAGAATGTCCATTCTGAACACAGAGATAAATATAAATGCTCAGTGCTGGCACTCCTTCAATGATAAGGCTCTCTTCCCAGGAGCCAAAGCCAAAGCCAGACTGACTCGTTGTGTAGGAAGCATATACATTCCTTGAAGGAATGTACCACTGTCATGTTTGATGCTGTTTGTTTCAGCAAGAGATAAAACCATCTTCTTTGGAAGAGTTTCCCAGAACTACCTGAGAGGCTGCTTCCCGCCTAATAGTACTCAGTTTGGCTCAAGTAAAACTCTTTTCTATTCCCATTATTTCAAATCTTATCTGTGTCACTTATTTCCTATGTGACCTTGGGCCATTTATTAACTGCTCAGCACCTCAGTTTTCTCATCTGGATTACCTACCTCTCAAGATTATTGTGAAGACAAATGAGATACTGAAGGTTAAACACCCCAAACATAGAAAGTGCTCAATTAATATTCCTAAATACCACTTCAAAGCTGTAAAGCAGTGCTACTCAAAGCGTGGTCTGAGAACCTATAACGTCAGTATCACTAGAAATGCAAATTGTCAGACCCCATTCCAGATCAACTCTGGGGCTAGAGCCCAGAAATCCATTTTAACAACCTCATCAGATGATTCCTAATGTCTGATAATGCTTGAGAAGCAATGATGTAAGGAATCCAAAAAGTAATTCAGCTCAATCCTTTATTTTACAAAAAAGTGAACTAAAATCCAAGGATATTCAGCAATGTGCTAAAAGACATTCAGAAGTCTTATGGCAGAGCTGAGGTTCCAACTCCAATCTCCTCATCTAGATCTACAATTTAGATTGGGGATCGTCTAGCTCTCCAACCTGGAGCAACACTAGATCCTAACAAAATGTGTAACAGTTTGCTATGATTCCAGAGAACTAGAAAAAGAGAAATCAAGTCATAAAACACAAGAGACTTATTAATAGAAATGTTTTTAATCCAATTTTCTGTTCTTGGAAACTAGGTGCATACTAATTCACACATCTGAAAATCAGAAAGAATGACATAAACCTGTAAATAATCTGCCAAAATGTGAGATTTTGTAACCTTACTGAAATGCTGATTCACATCATTTTTATTGGTCTCCTAATAACACAGCACAATAACACACATTGCCTAGGGCAACACAGTGACTTAGTTTTCTTTCCTCATTCTTTTTCATTTTCCATCAATAACTTCAGCCAAATTCATCTAACATTTATATGTGATATTCTCTGAATTTTATTACAAAAATACTCTAGAAAAACACCACAGAAGGTTTGGGGTTTTGTTCTTCTCCTTTTGAAAGAATTAGAATTGCATACTGACAAATACCATGTGGAAATCTCACTGAACAAATGATTTCCCATGGAGTTCAAACATTTGGATTTGCATTCATTTACCTGTCTGTGTCTCCAATTTCAAAACTTTCAGTAATCCATCTTCACCACCGCATGCTATGAATCCTTGGTCCTTGTTCCAAGATATACACTTTAGCTTCACATTATTGGGAATGGCAATCTGAAAAGCAACCAGACCCACTCTCAAAACTCTTCACGAAGGGGTTAGGAATGGGTCTACCAGAGACGAAGGCTGAAGACGAAAAACGGCCAGCCTTGCAGACGTGCGAGCCGTTATGAAAATGAGCATAGTCCCCTGAACTGCCCCGGGCCCCGCCATTTGGGAAAGAGAATGAACTGCACACAAGACAAGGTGAGTGACTGAGAAAGAACCCAAGTGGGGAGTGACCTGATGGATTTTTTTTTTAAAGGAGGGAGGGGGTAATGGAGGTATAAACTATACTATCAATCCATATTCTCTTTGCACACACACTTTGCCTTCCTTTTTGTTACTATTTTTCTCCTGCTCAGCGGCCCGTGATAATCCAAAGAATTTAAGTCAACTGGATCAGCAACAGGTGACGGAGGAAGGATAGGGAAGCACGCAGGGTCCTGCAGCTCCCCCAGAAGGACCTAACCCGGGGAGGGAATGGGAAAGAATCGTGCGAGAGGGCTGCTGGCTCCACCGGGACTATCTGGGGCTCCGCAGGAGGTCCGAGGCTGGACCAGGCAGGAAAGTGGGAGGAGGGATGGCGAAGCCGCGATCACGACGCCTGGCCTCTAAGGCAGGATGCGGGAATCGCCCACAGGACGAGAGATCGGAGGAGGAGCGAGGGCGAACCCCGGGAAACTCACTTTCTTGCTCAGGTAAAAGAACATCCTGGGAACCCCGAGAGGACGAGCCCAGCAGTCAAAGCCAGCAACAAAGAAACTTCTAAGTCTCCAATCTAGAGTACCAACGGCTTTCGGAAGCTCCTGTCGCCCTGGCAACCGGTCGCATCCGGGGCGCCGAGAGACACTTCCGGCGTCGCCCCCGCATCGCGGAGCGTCCTACGCCTGCGCGGATGTCTCGGGGCTGCTGGACCCGCTGTCGCGGGGCCAAATGGGAATTGGACCTGGTAGCTTTGCGTTTTGGCCTTACTGTCCTGCGTCTGGGCCGGAGCAGCGGCCCTCACCCCTCTGCCTCGTCGTCTCAGCCGCCCTCCGTTCGGGCGGGCTCCGAGGACCGGCCACACCTCGGACGGTCGCGGTGGAGCTCGCCCGAGGCGTTAGTATCAACTCAGGAGTAAAGGCGCCCATTCAGATGAAGTCCTGATGACGGGGTGTTGTGTAAGCCGAAAAGTCCCAACGTTGTTGAAAGGGCAAAGTCATTTACTGTGTTTGGCAGGCTGGCACCGTTGGCCAAATGTTGGTACAAACGTGCGTTTTCAGGTTGCAAACCTTCCTTTGTGCCTTTGGGGGTTGGAGAACTCCCTGGAGCAATCTGAGGGTAGGAGATTGTGTCAGTTCTGTTTGTTTTAGAAATTTTTAACAGTTTAAGCTGTTACTGCAACCCAAGGGTCCTTATAAAAAGGAATCTGTGTGAGCTTTGGGCTGTTACAGCATGTGATTGACTTTGGGCATAGCCTTCCATTTTTAAGTAATTGAGGTGTTTGGTATTTTCTTGCCTGGCATCGACTGTTCTATTTTCTCTTCTTTTTCTGCCTTATTTCTTCCTTAAATTTTCCTTGTGCTTTCTGATTGCTTGGAGAGGTACAGACCACAGTTTTAGACATAGGGCAGAAAATCCCATGAAATTATTTAGTTTCACCTGTTTTTTTTTTCTTAATTTATGTATTGTTTTAATGGGGGGGGATAAGTGTACTTATTTGTTTCTTTTTAGAGGAGGTACTGGGAATTGAACCCAGAACCTTGTGTATGCTAAGCATGCATTCTACCACTTGAGCTATATCCTCCCCTCTGGTCTTATCTGTTTTTTATCTCTCGTTTTCACTTTTACCATATTCGTAGCTACCACTGTTGTATATAATCTATATAATCTGTACATGCAGCAGTAGCTAATTTCCCCACCTAGAGGCTTTCCCCATCTCAGGCAAATAAGGTTAAAATCCTTTGACCTGAGACTATTGCCTCACCCAGAATACTCAAAAGTTGACAATGGCCCTAGTTCCTTTCCTATCAAATATAAACCCCAGCTAAAAGCAGATCTTCCTTCAATCTTAGAATGTCTTCATGTTGGTGCCCCCACTCTAAACAAGCCAGTATTGCTTTTTTCATCCCACCATGCCTGTCTGCTTCCAAAGCCATTTTATATATGCTCTGATGTTCCTACCTTCTTGGTCATTTGTGCCTAGCCAAACACACAAATCAGGTCTCCCTGAGTAATTCTTTCCAAACTTAACCCCCATCCCATTCAGATAATTTATTTATTTGTTTTCAAATGTGTGAGTATCTTTTTTCAGCACCAAACGGTACATTCCTAAGATGTGTTGACACCTGCTCATGGACTCCCTATACTGGACCAAAGAGAAAAAGCAGTTATTATCCAAGCCAGGGGATTCCAATCAACTGGTCAAAGTTTAAGACATGATTAGTTGAAACTACTGATGGTTGCATTCTTGAAAATTCATCTCTCTTTAATTCCTTTCCCTAGTTCTTGCACATTCACTATCATTTATCCCTCCTATAGCACCATTTTTTTGGTGAGATATTAATATAACTGTGCTCAAACAAGTTTGGAAAATAATACTTGCTCTGTGTTAGGTCCTTTCAAAAGTGTTCAGAAATAACAACATATGTTTCATATAATATATACTGCCATAATGTGTTCATTTTTCATTTCTTTACAGTTTATATTTAGATATTTTTACTGTTCCTGGGTTTACATTTGTAGGTTACATTTGCTTTTCAGGTGCCTATATTAATGTATCCTCATCGTTTTATCTAAATTTAAGTAATTTTATTGTATTCCCTCTCCCACAAGATTCTTGATTCAAGCCTTTCTATTTAACATGAATTTACATTTGTAATCTTAAGAGCATGAAATTAAATTGTAGAAAGAGCCACAACATTGTGTCCTGTGACAAGGAACTGTTTCATATTTGAAACAGTTGTTAGTTCAGCTTAATTTAAGGAAATGTGTTAATAGACAAAGTTGATAATGTCACCCAAAAAAAGCATGACAATAATATATAAAGATAATGATGTTTTTATTATACTAAAGACAACATAAATCAAAAAAGAATGAGTAGTATACAATTTAAAGAATTGTTTTCTTCTAAAAGTTGTAAGCTTTAAAGCTGAAAAAATTATATGTATCAAATATATAAGTGAAAAAAGTTAGGCTTATCATTAACATTTTAAAAACATTAGGTTTTGTTATTTGTTATAGTAATATTTATAAATACATAATGTTATTGATTGGATCCTAAAGTAAAACGATAAAGTAAATTTAGGATTTTTTTGTCCTTGGTAAAAAGTTATAATACTCTTAATTCACAACTGAAGTCTTTAGCTGTGTGTTTCTTTCTCACATCACAATGAATTAAAAATGGCATATAACAGTTCATTTGATGTGTGTTAACTATATTTAGATATGTGTATTATAATCCCCTGATCACAGTTTCAGCAGTAGTTTAGCAAAAATGATCAAAAACCAAAAGTGTTGAAGATATAGTTCTAAATTATATTCATCTCAATTTAATGATATGAATTTTTTATGTGTAAATACTTTGTACAATTTACACTCTCAATAATAAGACTGGTTTATACTATAAATACTGTCAAGAAAAAAAATAGATCAAAAGTTCCCATTGTATGTATGGTTATCTTACTAATACAAACATTTAAAAATTAAATGGCTCAATTAGTAGAGAAAGAAAGAAACATGAAACTTTACATTCTATTTACTACCAACTATTTCACAGTCATAGCTTAGAGACACTAAAGTTTGCTCTTAATAAGGATATGGACATTTATTTCCTTAGAAAAATGAAACTGACTTTCCAGAAGGTCCTCACACTACTTATCCAGTAACATTAAAGCATTTGTAATGGCAAATTATTAGCAGGAACATTGAAGTGTGCCAAATTATTAAATACACCAAGCGCTCCATGTTTCCAGGTGACAAAATTGAGCTAGTTAACGATGTATTTGTCCATATTCATTTGCTTGCAACTTCTCCAAAATGTCATCGAGTGGCAAGTTGTTAAGGCTAACACCACATATTTTTAGACTTTAGAAAATGCAACCACACTTTCAGACACTTCAATACAAGAAAAAACATTTAAGTTCTATTTTCAACAAAAAGAGTAAAATTGTTTTCTCATCAAAAATTTAATTTAATCTAAATCAAACATTTAATCTAATTTAATCTAAAACTCAGATATTCTGTTCTATAGAGAGCATGATATAAAGCAGTGGTCTTCAAACATTTTTGCTCAGATATCCCCTAAGGTAATTTTGACAAATGATATCTTATATTTAAATTATATGGATATATACATATTTAAATTATATGCATGTTTACATGAAAATTTTCTTAAGTTTAGTTACAAAATATGCAATTTCTGCTATATTATAAATAGTGACTTTAAAATAAAATGTAAATTTGTCTTTCAAATGTATCCCATGTAATATTAATACCATACTGAATTAATACTACTATCATTCTAAAATAAAATATTTCCTTGAAATTGTATTTCCTTTCTACTTTCTCTACAGAATTTTATTCTACTTTGAATCTTGGAAATCTGTTCTTGACCACTCTATTATACTTCGTTGATGTGAACTTTATACAGACAACAAGCAAATACACAGTTCTATTGAAATTACCTTTAAATTAATTTTCTTTGACCATCGGCTCTAAATTTTTTAAATTATCTCAGTTGAGTTATCATTACAACTATTATGGGCATGCAGTTGATCTAAACAATAAACAAATTACAAATTCTGACATAAAATCATTTAAAACAAAAGGTAAGTTTTAATTAAGAAATGTATCTCTTATTGGAATGCATTGGGGGACGTGTCTATAAGGGCTTCATTAAAAATCTGTTGGGTTTACCCTTTATTTGGTTCTCTGGAGAGTTTACTTTTCCAAGAAATTCACCTTAGTAAAGGGCAGGCTGAGTAAGAGGTATGCCTTTTTTGTATAAAGTTAGGAGAATGACCCCAAGTCACATTTTAGGCAGATCAATGTAAGGAAGAGAAGGATTTGGAAACTGATTCCTTTAACATTTTCTGTGCAACCCCCCAGCCCCGCCAATACCCCTTGAAAGTCTCTGCAGACTCCTAGGTTGGCCCCATCTCAGTCTAAGTACCACTCCTCTGGGATCACTAGTATGGTGTTGTCAGTTCACTTGAGCTGTGCTAAGAAAAAGTACTTTTTCCTGAGTGACTTCTTTGGCTAAACAGCTGATTTGGAAGGTTGCTGAGGTGCTACTATGTTCCATTTTGAAGTCTGCGTTTTCACCACTGGGCTGGACAGAGAGAGTGCACAGCTCTGTGTCATCTGCGCCGTCACACCCTGTTAATCAGCTGACCTGTTCTGAATACGAAAGCCACAGTAAGGAATCAGCAGAATAGCACCATCTGTTACACAGAGCTCAGTGAGGAGCTTCTAGTCTGTGGAAAAGCACTAGGAAAAGAAGTAATTACACAGCTTTTACACATAAGTAAAGATGGGCGTAACGTCTATTAAAACATTTGAAAAGAATTCTAAATTTAAAAAATTAAAGCTATGTACTACTATTGCTCATCTTAAAACTTAACGAATTTTTTCCTTATCCTGTGGAATGTCCTAAAATGTCGGCCCAATTTTAGTACCTCGGCTTGCTTCAAGCAGAAGCAGAAAAGCTTCCAGAAAGGATATGTTTGGTGTTCAGCCTCTGCAGATACGAGCTGACCTTATCCTGGAATGCCAGTGTGGCTTCACACGCACAAGCATCTTCTGTGGAGATGAGTCTTCGTGCTTCTTCAATGGCTGACGAGAAGGACAGTACACAGTGTTACAGCTAATTAGAAATCATAGCAAATCAGGAAATCTATGATTCAGCACTTCCATTTTTAAGACTTACCTAAATGCATTTCTCTAGAAGATAAAAGGATATAAGAGCACAAAGAAAGAGGAGAAAATACTGTGGAATTTGAGTATCACAGAAGAAATTGAGTTAGGAGATACTGAGGAAAAGTTTACAACTGTCAAAGCTGGGGGATGGTAACATGAGAGTTCATTATATTGTTCTCTATACTTTTGTGATTGTCTAAAATTTTCCATGATATAAAGTAAGTGTTTAAGAAGATGATGTAATGCGGGGGGAGGGTATAGCCCAAGTGGTAGAGCTCATAGCTCAAGTGGTAGAGCACATGCTTAGCATGCACAAGGTCCTGGGTTCAATCCCTAGTACCTCCCTCTGATCATAACTAAACCTAATTATCTCCCCAAATAAGTACATTTTTTAATTAAAAAAAAAGAAGATGCCAAGAATGCAGAGATAAGGCAATCTCCTTGTGATCCTGTGTCCTCAGTAAGAAACAAAAATGAGGAAAACGGTCCTCTATTTGTGTGGTTAGAATATTTTAAGGATTAAAACTAGGTAATTCTCGATTTCCTGTACAGACTTACTCCACTGAATGGTTTGAACTCAGAATTCTAGTTCTTACCCATAAATACTTTGGAACTAAAAATTCAGGTTTCTATTAACATTCAAGCAAAGAACCTGGGAGAAAGATAATTCTAACCCCAATTTCTTTCTGTAATTCAGTGAGGCAGCTATTCCTACTCAGTATCGTAGCCCCTAAAGTTGCCTAACAGAAATAAGAGTAACTTCCCAGGTCTGAAAATGCGTATAATCTTCCAGCTGAGTAGTAGTACCGCCTGAGGACAGGCAGTAGTCCTTTCCGCCTACATTTTCTCCCACGTGCTACAAAGAAGATATCAGGCTGGGGGACCACAAATTCACTTGATTAAATATAACCTATGTAGCTGTCCAAATCCTACTGAAACTTTCAGGGATAGCCAGCTCAAATCCCCATCTCAATTGGTTAATTAGTAAACCCCAAAGTATTTACTGAATATCAAGTACCTGCCCATCATCCCTGTACAAAGTATAAAATTGGTACCTATGACACTTTTCCAGTGTATCTTGCCTGACAAACTATAAGCTCTGTGAGAGAAGGCTCAGTGTAACATCCTCACTAAAACACCCCATGGAAAACTGGGATGTTGCACAATTGACATTTGAGAGATGGATCCATTCACAATAGCATCAAAACGAATAAAATGTTTAGGAATAAATTTAACAAAAGTAGTGTGATACTTGTACACTGTGAACCACAAAATATTAATCTATCTCCAGGTCCTTCCTCGGGACCTATCAGAGTACTTGATATATGACAGTAGTTCTGTGAATACTTGCTGCACAAATAAATAAGTGAATGGCTAAAACAAGTGAGGTCAGAGCCTAAACCACTACAAATCATGCTGGAATCCTCACCTTCCAGGAGAAGAAAAAATACCCAAGACCGATTTTTCTGAAGATTAAACACTTAGGTCGGGCGACAGTACCCAGACGTATTCAAGTTCTAGAAGCAAGCTGCTCCTTCTTATTGTCACCCTCCCCAAGAACTGATCCATACCTGACTTCAAATGAAGAAGTATCTGCTGAGTAACTTAGGTATAATGGTAGACGCTAGGAATACAGAGATATTCTGCCCTTGAGGGCTGGGGCTTACAATCTACAGGAGCATAAAAACACAAGTCCAAAACCCTTGAGTTTTCTTCCCCAAATATGCTTCACTCTCAGTCTTCCCTCAATAAAGATGCCCCATCCCCCCAGCTGCTCAAGTGGAATACGAAAGCCATCCTTACTCCTCCCTCATTCTATCCCCAACATCCAGTTTATCACCGAGCCCTGTTCATCCTCCCTCCAAAACATATCTGGAATCAGTTTACTTCTGTCATCAATGCCACTGTCCTAGCCCAACTGCAATAGCCTCCAAACTGGATTTCCTCTGCTCTCCATCCTCTGCAATCTACTCTTCACACAGCACCTAGAGTGACTTTTAAAAATATAAACAGCATTATGTCACTCCTCTGCTTCAAACTCTCCGTGACTTCCCATTTCTCATAGAATTTCCCTTGCCCCAGAATATCAGCACGATCTGGGCCCTGCCTAATTCTCCAAACTATCTTACTCCACATTCCTCCTGGCTGGTCATGCTTCCATCACACTGGTGGTCTTTCACTTCCTCTCCCCACTAAAGCCACCACACAGGGCCTAGCATTGCTTCCCCTCCTCCTGCCAGCCTCCAGTCTCAACCTACCTGCTGTCAATTCTCAGATTTCAAATGTCACCTCCTCAGAGAGAGCCCCCCAACCTGAAATAGTTTCCTCCAACCCCTATTCTGTTATTTTCCATCATTGCTTATTTAATTTATAAATTTGTATTTTTAAAAAAACAGAGAAATGATGAAGTCAGATCACAGAAGAAAGAATGCCTGGTGGAAAAGTAGAATTATTCCATTCTGAAGATAGCTGGGAACCACTGGAGGATTCTGACCAGGAGCAAGACTCAGAACTGTGCTTCAGAGTTGGAGACAAGAAAGCTTACTCCTAGAAGACTGTCCTAGCTGCGTGAATTAGGCTTAAAGGGACAGTCTTACCTGAACATGTCTTCTTGTCTTCATTCAAGGTGTAGCCATTGTAACAATCGCAGTGGTAAGAGGCGGCCCCGTCGTTCACACAAATGTGCTGGCAACCGTGAGAGCCCAGAGCACACTTGTTACGAACTGATCGGGAGTGGGGCAAGAAATAAAATATTCACAGATTACAATAGGAAACCAAACCCAGACTTCTGGGAGACAAGAACCTTTGGTTTGGTCCCAACAAGTACAGCAAATAACAAGCATGCAAGTCTGCAGCCTCCGGCCCACGATCTGCGGCTCCACGTTTAATTTACAAGCCTTCCCACCGCCCAACAAGGGGAAGGCAGGTCATTGCAGGGAATCTGGCCCATGTCATGCACCCCAGTTTTTTAGAATGGCATTCATTATTACTTTAAAATATGAAAAATACTAACTTGCCCCATCTTGTCTTTTTCTTCTATCTCCTTTTGCTCTCCTGTGCTTTCTACCATGAGACGGTATGGCTTAGTGTTTGAGAGAATGTGTCACCACCAGAGCAAGTACCTGGATTCAAATCCTGGCTCTGCTACTCAGCAATCAAGTGACTACAGGCAAGTTGCTTAATCTGTTTGTACCTCAGTTTCCTTATAAAGTTTCTGTGAGCAGTAAATGTGTGACAGCATCTAAAATGCCTAGAACTGTACATGATACACAGTCGGCACTAACAGCTCCTGTTACCTGGAAGTGTTGCCTGGAGTTGTCTGCATTAACTGAAAATCTTCTTTGATTTCTTTTTTTAATAAAATGTTCCATTTTTATTCCATAATATCTGTTAGTTTACATCCAAATTTGTTTTTGTTTCCTTTTTCCAGGCCTTCTGTTTAAAGGCCTCAGTTTAAAGTACCAAGTGGGAATATTTGTGATGGTTTGAGATGTGTGACCATGAGGCCTCTCCATCCAGGTGATTTAGTCCGCCCCCTGAACAAACCAACACAAGCCACGCCCCTTGCCCTTGCCACTCTCCATCTAGACTTTCCCTACCTTCCAAGGCCCACCTCCAGCCCCACCCGCTCTGTGTCTGGTCCAGACATCCTACCTCTGCCGCCCTTAGTACCACCAGTCCCTGACTACTTAGTCCCTGCTTCCTTAAGGTGCTGGTTCTCTTTGCACCCAGAGGTAGAAGCTTCCACTTTATAGCCCCACAGTGCTTAGCACAGTCCTGGGAATAAATAGCTGCTCAGTACTCTTTTACTGATCTCATTTTTTTTAAAAAAGGAGACTTGGTGATATTCCACTTCTTTTAATCTCTCTTGAAAAGGTCATATAATATATCTCCTCAAGGGAGAAGAAAATATACATAAAACCTAAAAAAATATTGAATATGCTAAAACGAAACACCACTTGGAGAGCTAGGAGCTTCTCTAAGGAGTGTTTTTACATTATAAATGCCACCCTGTTCTGCCAGTGAGCTTAAATCAAACTAATGAGGATTAGCAGTGCTGGCATAGGCTCCCTCACTAAGTCATAAGGCTCAGATTCACCCAAGATTGATCATTGAGAAACTGTCAGGAAAGGACTTGCTTCAAACTTACTGGAAGATCTGTGTGGGTCTAATTCAGTCGTTTACAAAGTCTCCTTTACTGAAACGATCCAGCTTTAAGATTAACGCTACAGAAAAGTTCCAGGCCAAGTTTTAATTGGAAAAAGATCACTTCAGCCTATCACACCAAATAGTTACTGTCCAACTGACTTCCTCTAAAGTTTCCTATTTGCTTTACAGAGCTATAAAATTTTCCTGGATATGGACCCTGCATTCAATTAGCTTTTCTCATATCCCCTACTCCCTATCCATTTCCAAGTAATTTTCTGAAGTAAGCTATGTTTGCAAAACCTAATGAGCTCATTGCCCTCTGAGCACTGTGTCTTGGTCTGTAAACATGGTAGAATGTCTGAGGCCCCGATTCTTTACATTACCTTTAAGAATCTTCTCTTGGTAAATTGCAAGTAGAAAGAGCCACATGTGAAAGAGTTTATTGAATGGACTTTACCTGAACATGTTTTTTTATCTTCATTCAGAGTGTAGCCCTCATAACATTCACAGTGGTAGGATCCAGCTCTGTCATTCACACAAATGTGCTGACAGCCATGTGTACCAAGAGCACACTGATCCTGAGCTGCCAAACGAAAGTCCAGAAGAAAAGAAATTAAACGTGAAAAAGTCTTTGATTACCCATGTAGAGAAATCTTCTTATTTGTAGGTAGAAATGCAGAAGCAGAAACTGATTAGAAACCATTCAAAGCCATCAGTCATATTTGTTCTTACCAAGAAATTAGCTGAGTAAAACAAAATCCTACACACATAATACTTATTCTTCTATCTTCCTCAACTCATGTTCACAATCATTTTTACTCAGTTTTCATAATCTGAGTATCTCAGAAATACTCTGTAAAGCATTCCTTGTAGGTTTGTTGTATTTATGCTGAATCTGAGGGATTCCAACAGTTGTGGGGCTAATTATACTAGATTCAGAAAGACATCGAACTAGAGTTTGAAGAAACCATAGCTCAACCCTCTCTCGTAAAAAATAAGGAAGCTGAGTCCAAAGGAGACCAACTGACTCAGCGCAGCATCAGAACTCAAGACCCAACTTGCCACTCAGTGATCTTTTCTCTGTACTGACATATTTTTAAACTATTTTTTAATCTTTGAACTGTTCATTTTGAAATCACTTCAGGCTCACGAAAAAGTTGCAAAAATAGTACAAAAAGTCCTGCACTTCACCCCATTTCCCCAAATGTTAACATCCTATACAAGCACAGTGTCATTATCAAACCAGAAAATTAGCACTGATACAATGCTATTAAGTAATCTTTAGACCTTATTCAAGTTTTGCCAATGGTTCCACCACTAACGTCCTTTTTCTGGTCCAGGATCCAGTCGAGGATCACAAAGTGCATTAAGTTGTCACATCTCCTTAGTTTCCTCCAATCTGGGACATTTCCTCAGCCTTTCTTTGCCTTTCATGACAGTGGCACTTTCGAAAATTACTGAAAAATTATTTTGTAGAATGTCTCTCAACTTGGGTTCTCTGAGGCTTCCTCATGATTCTGAGTTTTCAGCAAGAATACCACAGATGCGCTGCTGGGCCCTCAGAACATCATGTCAGGGGATCCACAACATCACTATGTGTCATTGCTGGTGACGTTAATTTTCCTCACTTGGCTGTAGTGGTGTCTGCCAGGTTTCTCCACTATGAACTTACTGTTTTTCCCTTTGTAAGTAATAAGTATCTTGTGGAGTGTTATGTGATTTTAATTTACTAAAGTGTCTTTAGCATCTGGAAAGGACTGTTGGGGGCTGGGTACAGAGAAGGAAATGAACAACACACTCACACATGTGGATCATGATACACACATGCTGCTGTTTCTAACGTTTCTAATAAGAGGTGGGAAAAGCCCAAGATGGCGAAAGAGGAAAAGAGACCAAGTTCCCCATCGATGGACCCCCCTCCCTAACACTGGCTAGGGAGGCGGGTAGACAGGGAAGCAATAGTAAAGTCCCCTGCCCCACTTACCAGAACATGTTTTCCTGTCTTCATTTAAGGTATAACCCTCGTAGCACTCACAGTGATAGGAGCCCGCTCTGTCGTTCACACAGATGTGTTCACACCCGTGAGTGTTAAGAGCACACTTATCAATAGCTATCAAAAGATGATCAGGACCAGTGTCAACATATCGGAAACGTGGTAAATAAATGATTATGGGCCATACCACACATACACACACACACACACACACACTGCTAATGAAACAAGACAGACCGGCACAAGAAGAAGACTACTGGGCTGGAGGTTAGGAACTGACGACCCCTGGTCTTGGCTCCTTCACTACCAGGCCCCATGACGAGGATTATTCTTTTCCCTTCCTTAGGTCTCAGTTTCACAACCTATAAAATGAGTATGTTGAATTAAATAATCTCTAAGTTTTCTTCCTCTCAAAATCTTTTTTCTAGGATTTTTACAAAATGGACCTAATTCCCATTCTTCACTGACTGTATGTGACGACCCATATGGCCGATGTGTGAGAATCTCCCTAAGTTTTCTTCCATTTCTAGGTTCCACGAGTGTCTACAGTCACAGAGGCCAGAGTAGCTTGTATTTAATTAATTATTTAATGAAATAAATCCAGGAAAAAAATTCAAATCCTCAAAAGGACCAAGAGTTTGGGCCCCTTTCCACACTAGCCCTTTTCCCTACTGGCCCTTCTCTCTAAAACTAGTAATAAGTCCCATCAGAGGCTGTTTTATGTGTTATCTCACTTTTCTTCTCCTGTTCCCTCTCAAGGAAAATCGTTGATAACGGAAAACCAGCCAAAAGGCAGTGAGGAGAAAAGCATAAAGCCAGTCTACAGCCCAGAGAGTGAGTCCCCGCGTCAGTCGCAGTCAGCCGCCATCCCCTAAGCAGGCCTCACCTGAACACGTCTTCTTATCAGCATTCAGCGAATAGCCCTGGCTGCACTCACAGTGGTGCTTGCCTTCCCCGTCACTGACACACACGTGCTGGCACTGGTGTGTGCCAAGCATGCACGGGTCCAGAGCTGTGCAAAGAAATTTATAGCAGTCAACGTCGACACGTAAGAAGCATTTTAGATACTTTCTCTCCCATGTCAAAAACACATTGCTCTCTGGGTTCCTCTCCAATGCTATCTTTAGTTCACTATAAAAACTGGCTCTTTTCCTCTGTCCCTGGCCAATTACAAATACCACTCTTAGTAATGTTTAAATTAGTAACTAGTAATGTTACTAATTTAAAATCATAGATCTTGCGGTTGACTTCTCAAAGGAGAAAGAGAATTTTGAATTTGGAGCCCTAGCCAAACATTGACAAAAGGCAGGCAATTTGATATTTTATTCAGCATATCCACCTGACCAGAAAAAAAGACTTTTGCTTCCCAACAAGAAACAGGGAGAACAATAAAGTACTTCCTGAAGTTCTACGAGCTAGTGGTCCCACTGCAGCCAGAACCCAGTTTGCAAGAGTTCTATAGTTTGTGTCTAAACAGAATTCACACTCAGACATTCCTCTCGGCCTGGAACCACTCACTCTTGGGCAGCAATACGTGTTTGAACATGCAAATGGTGGAGGGCAATGCAGGTAACTGTCTTCTGAATATGCAACATGGGTTCCTAAACTCAAATGTATTTGCATGCAACCCTAGGGGCTCTCCTATCTGCCAGGAGAATAAACTCACATGCTATACACAAACCAGTAAAAAGAAAAGGAAAAACACAATAAATAAGATGATGTTAGCTAAACTGCATCTCCATCTTTTTGCTCCTGGAGTCATTTCTATCTCTTTGGATTTTTCTTTTTTCCTAGTGACATGTTTTGATAGAAGAATCAATGAATGGAGTCATTTCTGAGAAACCAAGGAGGCCTGTTGGAGGAGGCCAGCACCCCTGTGGCAGGTTACCTAGCCTCCACTTTTTGGCAACAGGACAAGGCTAATATTTTCCCAAGAAGGGCCTTTTCATGGAATAATCTTTCCAGCCCGTTGACTACAACAAGCTACCCCTCAGTCTTTTTTCCATAGAGAGGACATATTTCCCCAGAACAAGCAGGCCTTTTGTACCAGAATGAAAAGATGGCCACTCACCACTTGTTACTGTATGTCCTTCAACCCCCAACCCCAGGTGCTAGCTTTGAGACCCAGTCTTGCCACAGACTAGTATCTTTATGGAAAAGCTCTCACCCACAAGCACGAGGGGTTTTCCTGGGAGAAAGAAAGCCATTTTCTTTTGGGAAACCAATGAATGCCGAGTAGATGCCACCAAAGCCAAGGACAGCTTGTGAAGGCCCAGTGTCCTGGGGCAGGAAAGACAAGGGGGCCCCGGCCAGGTCTGGCTTAGGTCCTGACCGAGACTTCATCTCCCATTTCCTGACAAATTTTTGACTGCTGAGTTTCACCTTCATTTATATAAAAAGTCTCCTTGAAATTTACAATTGTAGTTACTGATTCACTTGTTTGTCTCATCCCCATCCTCAGACTGTTGCTGGATAGTAGAGAGGGACTACCTTTCTCTTTGTATCATCAGTGATCAATAAATGCATGTTGAAAATACCAAATGTGGAATAGATTATATAGCCAAAGGTATCTACATTTTAAAATTCACCTGAACAGGGCAGGGCCGGGGTATAGCTCAAGTGGTAAAGTGCATGCTTAGTATGCAGGAGGTCCTGGGTTCAATCCCCAGTACCTTCTCTAAAAATAAATAAACTAAATATATCCCTCCTCTAAAAAAAAAATAATAACACTGCTAAAATTCACCTGAACTAGAAATCTGTCCACACCTGCCTGGATAATTCCATAGGGGGCTTTGAAAGATTATCTCCAAATGATAAAAAAAAAAAAGCATGAATACAGAGAAAAATAGAAATTTTAAGATGAAAACAAAAATAAAATTAAAATTAAAATTAAAATTAAAAATTTCAGTCCCACAAATTCACAATTCTGATCAGTGACTAAAAGTAAACATCAGCTTTGAATGGATTCATATTCATGGATTTGGCTGATTCATGCTAAAAATTCTAATTAAATCAGCATGTTCATATTTAAACTCCATCCTAAAGGAAGAAAGGGAGACAGTAACAGAACGATCAAAAAACAAAAAAAACAAAAACAAAATATACCCTGCTTCTTGCTAGCTCACAAGTGAGATAAATCCCAGTCTCCCTGGTCCCTAATCCTGCCCATCCACAAGGAATAATCTGAGAAAGAGCCAATATGAACACTAGAGTGTTCCCTAGTGTGCACTCCGACAGTTACTCTGGAATATAAGCCAGCTGATTCTTCTGTGGACAGACACACTTCCCCGTCTTCTGCAGGAAAACAAACAGGGTTCTGTTAAACCTAGAGATGGTAAAACTAAAGAAAATATCTGGAAAAACTGTGGTGGGCAGAAGGGAGAAAAGAGATGTCTTGAGTTTTTTATTTTTATTTTTTTTCTGACCCTGTCAGGGAACAGCAGGATCATTTATCCTGGATATTTCCAGAACTTCACATTTCTAATGCAAACATGAAGATTTTATGAGCAAACCAAGTTATATATATAAGGCAGCTCTATATTCCTAAACCAACAAAGTGTGTTTAAGTTCGTTAAAAAAGAAAGCACAAAAAAGCATTATTTATAAAAGTTTTCCTTAAAATTTCCACCAAAAGAAAGAAAAAAAAGAATAAATCTCTTTTTCTTCGAATACACGATGTCTGACTATAAGATCCTTTCTAGTTGGAAGCAAAGACTTACCACAGAAAGTTTTCTGGAATCTAGAGGAAAGTTTCTCAATGACCCCATAGGTCTCCACGTAGAAAACGTGCTCGTCCAGGGGTTCACTGGCCATCAGCTTGAGGGACTCCATGTCTGCCCGGTCCACACCCACAGCGTAGAGCTCAATACCCATCGCCCGGGCCCGAGCCGCCACCTCGTTCACCTGGTCCTGGGGCCGCCCATCTGTCACAATGATGGCCACCTTAGGGATGTTGGAAGTGGGCCCCCGAGCTCCTGCCTCCACTGTAAAGGCTTCGTCCATCGCTGTCTGGATGGCCAGGCCAGACATGGTGCCTGTAGACAAGGGTGTGATCCGCGCCACAGCCCGTTTCAGGGACTGCTTATCTGAGTGGGTACCGAGATGAAACTCAATCTTCACGGTGCTAGCATAGTTCACCACTGCCACCCGCGTGTCCGCAGCCCCAATGTCCAGAGTGTCGATTATCCGCGAGACAAATGTTTTCACTTTGGTGAACTCCAGGGGCCGTACACTACGGGAGCTATCAATGATAAACACCAAGTCCAAGGGCCTGCTCTTGCAAATACCTGCAAATAAGGGTGTGGGAACAGAAATAACCAAGCCATGATCAGACCACAGTCAGAAACCCGGCAGTTCTCCCACCTGGAGAGCTCTGGGATTGGAGACCAGGCAACACAGCATCCTCTGACCCCATATTACCCCTGTCTGCTAACTTGCCCAAGACCACCCTCCATTTGGATGTTGAAAGCACTGAGGCTTTCAGAACTCACTAGTGAGAGTTCACATAAAAAGGTGTGACTTTCCCTAAATATCTCTTCTATAGACTGGCTGAGTCCTGAAATTTCACTTGGAGTCTCATCCCTCTGCGTAAAGTTTTGCTCAAAGTTTCCTCTTGACTCTCAGGAATAAATGGATTCCAGACCTTTCTTGGGCACTTTGTGCACCTGAGTCAACGGGACAGTGTCCCTGAACCGTGTGACAGGTGAACTCAGGGCAGCCTCATGGCTCACTCCCCTGCCCAGGCCTCACAGACCCCTCAAGCAACAGCAGTTTGAGTTGAGGCACACGTGTTCTCCTGGTGGCTTCATTTTTTTACTCCACTCCCAAGGTGGTGAAGACTACTCCAGAGTGGCCCTAAATTCTCCCTCCAACTGGTCATTCACTCCTGTTTAGTAAACTTTGGGGCCCAGCTAGCCCTGAGCTATAGCTTGAAAGTGGAAAGAAACAGATTAAGTGGAACTTAATCTGGTCCATGTGTATTGCATTTGCATCTTTGTGAGCATGTCTTGTTTTAAGAAGCAGAGATTTTGACTTGGTCTCTATCCTACTGCCCCCACCAAACTCTCTTAGTGACCGCTTTCATTTTTCATTTACCAAATTTTTTTTCTTGAAAGCTTACCAGGTATTAAGCCAAAGGGCTACTAAAGCAAGTCAGCCACATTCTCTGCCCTCAAGGAACTTGTATCTTTCCCACACAAAAGGACCTGGCACGTTGTAGCTACATAGTACATTTCGGTTTTCATCTCACCTTATTCATTCCCCCCTGACAATCTCATTCTACTCTCCTCTCCCTCCTAGCCACCAAAATCAAGTCCAAAAGTCTGGCCAGACTGAGAGAAGCCTTTTTCAGGTCATTCCTCCTTCTGTTTCAGCACATACCCACACACACACGCACACACACATCATATACACCAAGCCCTAAATGGAAACGAGATACCTGAGCATGACGTGTCATTAGGGTCTTTTCTTTCCTAATAGGGGGCTGAAAATTGATGCTACTCTAAGAAGGCAATTTACTTCGTGTGTAGGGGGAAAAGAAATAGGTATTTATTTGTTCAAAATAAATTCCTAGGCTAAGCAGTTGATGACAGAAAAAGCCCTATCTGGAACAGGAATCTATGCATCTACATAGATTTCTTTTAAAAACTGAAAACTATCCTCTTGGTTTTATCCTGATTCCTAGATGTATTAATTAGAAAAATAAATAATATTCTACTTTCAATAACATTTTGATGATCACAGGATTCCAACACCACAACCCTATGATGTCAGAGATGCAGAGGTTGTTCTTATACCCATTTTACAGGTGAGAAACCTGAGTCTCAAGGAGGTATAAGAGCTTGAAAGCTGTAGAACATGGATTGGACTCCAAGTTTCCTAACTCCTATCCCAAAGGGACTTTTCACTGCATGGTTGCCTCTCTCTGAGGCAACATTTTCCACCACAGAAATCAACATTATCCCATGTACCTAGTCAACATCCTGCATGTTGACTTTGAGCCACCAGCCTGAAATATGCTGTATGTCATGTATTTAGCTAAGTCAAAAAGAATTAATTCTTTCTTTTTTATTTTTTTAACAACTCCAGAATTTCACTTCATCCCTGATTGCTATGCATCAAGAGCAAAGAAGAAGAAAATCTTTCCAGAGGATGGATCTGGATGTTTTTGCATAACTGGAGTAAAATGAAAACTATGTATCTAACACTGCTGTCACTAACACCCAGCTGATGCCCTTACTAAAATCTAGGTTATGTTCTTATAAGTAAACATGTAGGATTCCTTCCTTCTCCACTTGGTTTTTCACATGGAATCATCTATGGGAGGTTACAGAGGGTGAGGTGGGCAGAATAATCCCCCCCACCTCATGAATATGTCCATATCCTAATCCCCAGAACCTGTAAATATGTTAATTTATATAGTAAAGGGGATGTTGCAGGTGTGATTAAAGACTTGCGATGAGGAGGCTATTCTGGATTATTCTGGTGGGTCCAGTGTAACTATAGAAGCCCATAAAAGCGGCAGAGAGAGGCAGAAGAGGAAATCCGAGAGATGGCACGTGAGAAGGACTCACCCTGCCTTTGGTGGCTTTGAAAACGGAGGGGAAAAGCCATGAGCCAAGGAATGAGAGCAGCCTCTGCAAACTGTAAAAGGCAAAGAAACGGATTCTCCCCTAAGATCTTTCCAAAAGGAACGCAGCCCTGCTGACACCTTAATTTTAGTCCAGTGAGACTAGTGTCAGAGTTCTGATCTACAGAATTCCTAGATAATAAATGTGTGTTGTATTAAGCCATTAAGTTTGTGGTAATTTATTACCGCAGGAATAGAAAATACAGGGGGCCTGACTCGGATGGCAGGACATTCTTTGAGTATCTGCTTACTTCCTGATTTGGACCCTCTCCTCACTGTTTTTGAATCTCATTCCTCTTTATTAGTTAACAGCACTTTGATTCTCAGAAACCAAGAAAATGGAGAATCTGAATTTCCTAACATGTTCCCTTATTCACAATAATTGTCAATTTCTGATAATTCCACTAGAAATAAAAGCCCATAACAAAGCTTAGCAATTTCTGGATGTAAAAAGGAGGGAATTTGGAAAAGAGTGGAATGTGGTGTTTGTTAAAGAATTATCATTCAATATTGAGTTGGATCCCAGGTATTGAAGGACAAGTGCTGCTTAGGGGAAATATGACCACCCAATGCAGAATCCTTCCTCTCTCTCCCAGTTCCATCCCCAAGGGAAGTGGATCAGGACCAGAGGTAATATTTACTTCTGGGAGATAGGTTTCTCCCCTACCCCCATTCCTGCCTGGCCTGGAGCAACCAACTAGCTACCAGCTGAATTTAACCATTGTAAACCCTGGCACAGCCTGTCTCAATGACAATGCTCTCACCATTTCAAATCCAGCCCAGTGGAGCTGGTGCAGGGAAGAATCCCTTGTGCTTTCCATCAACATTATCCAGAAAGGTGCAGGAGGGGTAAACAACACAAATCAGGCTGAGGCAGATGAAACTGGCCAGATGAGACTGAACATCCAGAAAATGGTTTGGTGCAGCCTCTCTTTAACAAGTCTGAAGCTGGACTTTTTGGTAACGAAGATAAACTCTCATATAAACCATATTAAGAGCTTGGTAGCTTGGAGCAGTAGAAAGACCCATGCTTGGAATACCTGAGCTCTGTGTTTTACCCCAGGCTCTGAGACTGATTTGCTGAGTCCCCTTGGTTTGACAATCCTCAGTTTCCCTACATGTACTGTTAGGGATTCGGTCAGATGATCTTCCAGCTCTGCTGCTCTAGGAGCTTTGCTCTGCCACAGGAACCAACTACTGATCCAAAAGAGAAATGAAATTGTTCGCCAAAGACCCAAAGTGTCTCGAGTGTTTGAGAATGTAAGAGAGTACAGGTTGGGGCTGGGACCCAGTCAATCAGAGAACTAAAAGCAGAATCTCAGGAAGGGTTTATTGAACTGAACCAAAGGTGGGAATGGGCAGAGAGCTGGGAGGTACCCTGTGTTCCCAGTTACCCCATCCTCCCTGCCCAAATCTCAGGGGGCAGTTGCTAGAGCTTCTGGAATTCAAAGTCTAGCCCTGGCTATGAGTGCCCTTGGGCATCTCCCTTCCCTTCTCTGGACCTGTTTTCCAGAGTTCGTTGGGAAGGAGATCATTCTCCTGCACCGTGGTCTGGCGCAGACTGGGATGGAAAAAAACACCTGTCGGATGACGGAGGCTTTTCCTCCTCATTCGACGCTGGATTCGCCTGCCCACCCATCCACCCTGCTGGCACCAGCCCTGGATCTCCCTCCTGCCCTCGCCCAGGCCATCCCTGTGCCGCGGGCCCCGCCAGGCTGTCCCTCTCGGCCTGGCCCCTCTCCCGCCCTCGCCCAGGCCATACCTGCGCCGCGGGCCCCGCCAGGCTGGCCGACCCCCGCATACGGCGCGCCGGTGGGGGCAGCCAGAGCGGGACGGCGTCCAGGGCTGCCCCCTGGGCCGCGAGTCCCCAACCTCCGGAAGCCCGGTCGGGCCTGGGGGCCGGGGGCGGCGGGGGGCGGCAGCAGCAGCAGAGGCCAGAGCAGCAGGAGCAGTCCCGGGAGGTGGCGCGGCATGACTGGCTCGGTGCTTTTGCCCGTGTCTGTCGGCGGGTCGTGGCTCACTCTCTGGCTGGGTCAGTCGCAGGCGGGTGCCCGGCGCGAGGGCGGCTGATTTAAAGGTCCCGCGGCCCTGAGCCCCTCCCCGTGGCCTTGGGCCACGCCCCTCGGGCGTACGCCCCGCCCCGCGAACCCGCCCAGGGGCAGCGGGCAACCTGGTCCGCGCATTCCCGCCGCGGCGGACGCGGAATGTCTGGGACAAGCTGGCCAGCGGCGCGGTATCTGACCCCGGCCCGCTGCCCCGCCCGTCCCTGTCTGGGTGGGCTCGGCCCGGTGCCTTCTGGCCCGGCTCTGTCTCTCTAGAAACTTCTGCCTCGCCTGTACACCCGGGGACTGCCCGACCCTCCACTCACCCTCCTGACCTCCAGGCGCCTCTGGCCGGCGTCCCAGGCTCCCAGTTTAGGAGGCTGGGACTCTGCCGTCCAGCTCCATCCAGGTTTACCTGCCTCAAGGATTAACTCTGATCCCCACACTACATTCCTTTCCCCAGCCAAGTAACCCAAGTTAAAAAAAAAGAAAGAAAGAAAAGAAAAGCCTCACAGACTCTAGCAGCATGACTAGAAATGCTTTCATCCCAGCTTCAAACATCCGTAAACATTTGAACTTATATTACCGGGAATAGAAAGTCAAACATACATTCCCCAGAGAGCCCCCGTTAGCTGGAAGGACAGCCTGTACGGACAGGCTTCAAAGGCTCTCCCTTTTTCCCACTTCCTCTCCAGAAGAGGGATTGTGGCAGCACAGGGCTGGAGGCCAACCAGGGGACCCTCCAGGAACTCAGTCTACCGGGAGAGAAAGAAGCATCAATAGTGTACTTGTCTAAGGGACCATGCTGAATTCAAGGAGAAACTGGCTTTGCCTGAGAAAACCAGGAAGCCTTCTAAAAGAGGGGTCACCTCTGAGCTGGATGGTAAAATATGACAACAAACACGAGCTCCAACAGATCCTGTCTGGTCTTCTTGCTTTCAGACGATTGACTTTTGAAATCTACACTCCATACAGTAACCTTAAAATCACTTCTCTTATTAAACCTTGCAACTTCACTTCCAGTAAAATCCGAACTCCTTTTCATGGCCACCTGGTCTACCTCACTGACCACACCTGGAACTTACTCTGCCCTCCATACATCAACCACACTAGCCTTCCTCGGTCCTGCAGGACAAGGTTGTTCCCACCTTGTGGCCTTGGCACCTGGTCGTCCCACCTCCCATCCTTCATCTTCTCTCCCCACCCCACTACACCCACTCCACTCTCATCACCGCAGAGCAGTGGTTCTCAAACAATTTCTCATCCCATTAAACCTCACAGAATCGATACAACTCCATCAGTGTTAGCAAAGTGAGAGTCGTAAGGAGGGGAAATGTCTCTCAACTCCCAGTGAGAATTCACCTATTTCAGAGGATCTTAGAAGCTAGAATGTTATAATGGGAAAGGGACACTAAGAAGACTGAAAGAAGCAACACCAAGGTAAGAAGTTCTTGTCCAACACAATGTCTGCCAGCTCTCATGGACATATGTCATTTGTTCATCGTCATGCTCTTTGGATGATCCTCAAAGCCTTTGAACACCCTTACTCAATTTTCAAATTCCAACTTTATGAGTCAGCACCTCCCTGAGTAGAAGCCAGCAACTTGATTCCCAGCATCTCTTGCAGCTAGCATATATGCAAATGACCCAGACTTCATTGATAAGATGAATTCGCCTTTTTGTTTCAGCATCTAGTGGTGAGAAGCAAGCACTTTGTTGTCTTCATTCTGACGAGGATGGGAAGACAGCTAGCTTTCAAAGCAGCTATGGAGAGGGAAGAGCTGGATACAGTGCCCAGGGAAAGCAGGGTGAGCTAGGCTGTCTGTGCCCATCAGTAGTGGCTCTAGGTGTCCCCTAGAGCTGACCTGCAATGTAACTGGGAGTGTTTCACGACTGTGTGGCTTCCAGCCTTGATTATCACCCTCTTTCAGGAATTATGTAAGTCACTTGATATCCAGGGCTGCATATAGTGCACTATTCATACGCATAGTCACCACATATTTATTATAACAGATGGCATTCCTTTTCAATAAGTGGCCGTGAGGTATCTTGAGGAATGGATGGCTTTTCATATGCATTTTGGACTAGTAATGGGACTGATAATACCCTTCATATATCCTTTTTCTGCTTCTTCTAGCTGGAGTGAGTTCTGTTTGCGACTGTTAACTTTATCTTATAATTTTTACCTTTAAGTACCACGAGGGAGCATTATTTTATCAAAGAGCTCAAAATAAATCAAGAATCTCTTAGCTCCTTGGTGAATGACAGGACACATTAGTTGCCAGTAACTTAGATGATTTCAGATGCACATCTAGGCATGTTATACCATCTTGGATGAAATGAAAATTGTCTGATAAATTGGTGTCTCCAGAATTCTTTCCATGAGTTCACAGTCTTACATCTGTGGTCCAGTAATTCTAAAAACAAATACAAAGGCAGCTCTTCTGGCAAAGAGATCCAGGTGGCCTCAGGGGCTTCTGGTATGTCACTAACTTACTGGCTACTGGCCTAGGTTGAGCCATGTTCAGGAAAAGACTAGAATAACTTTTAGATAACTTAAATATTTAGGTAGTGAGGAGTCCATACAAATTTCTTCAACTATTAAGGACAAAAAATGAGGGGGAAGGGTATAGCTCAAGTGGTAGAGCGCATATATGAGGTCCTGGGTTCAATCCCCAATACCTCTTCTGAAAATAAGTAAGTAAATAATTACCCCTCCCCCCAAAAAAAAACTTTAAAAAAAGAAAAAAAGTAACAAAGATTTATGTATACTTTGCATTGCTTTTAATTTTTTAATTATTTTTCGTATAGGTAATGCATATACTTGGTGCAAACAGTGAAAAACAAAAACAAAACAAAAACAAAAACAAAAAAACTATCAAATGCTGAGATTACTTTCAGCTTTGCATTGCTACTGAGTTAGAAAGGAGTGAACATGTCGGGTTATTTTTTCTCATATAATTAGGATTCCAGCAATAGTGTAAGTCTTGGGAGCTACTCAAGGAGCCGGCCTTCTCCTTCCACCCTTGGTATGTGAATTTTGTCCCCGAGGCTGCTTGACCTCCAAGTATTATGTCAGCGTTCAAGGCCAAAGGAAGAAGGAAGACACAAGGGCAAAGGCAAAATGTAGAGATTTTCTTCCTGCATCTCATTGGCTAGAAATACATCATACAGCCCCGCCTGGTGGCAGGGAGTCTTTGAAGGTAAGTTTTCAGCTTCTTAGGTCTACAGAGAGGAAGGCAAAGGAAAAACTGGATTGGAATGTGTGTTAAGAGCTAACCTATGGTATCTGCCACAGATACTCAGTGAAAATGAACTATCTCTATCCCCCTGACCCCCACTGTGGTGGCCCCACTGTTACCAATATCTTGAATATCCACATACTTGTATGTATAAGTATTTTAAAATACTAACATATACGTACTATCTGAATGTTGTATTGGAAGAGATATATGTTTCTAACTTTAGACCCAGAGGCTGAGAGTTCAAAAGAGCTACTTCTGAACCAGGTGAAAATGTCTTAGATTCTGTGGATGCATTGGAAAAAATATTGCCCAAAAAATGTCCCAAAGCTTCTTAAATCTGGTAAAGAATAGGCAAGACCAAGTCCTTGGACAACAAATATAATCTTTTTTTTCTTCCCCCAAAACACCTCCAGCCCAAAATGGAAGTGTTTCTGTAGAGTATAGGATAGTACAGTAAAAGCTGTATAGTTTCTCCGCTACTAAAATCCACCTGAATAACAGGTGCAAAATGTGCAGAAATGAACGTGTGCAAAGACTTAGAGATGTGTTGCTGCCTTTGTTTTTTAATTGCCAGAGGGGTTAAGATGGTACTAATGAAGTGGTCATGATTTTATTAAATCTTTGAGAATAAACAGAAATTGTGGTAATTAAGTCTAAACTTCATGTTCTAATGTCTGTATAATTTTTTATGTCTGTGTAATTTTGGATACCAGTTTCCTAACTACATGAGAGTTGTTTGGGAATAGGACGAGGCTGCAGGCAATGTTGGCTGCTCTGGAAAAGAGGACTGTTTTTGAAACATAGGCTGCATGTTTGTATCATTGCCAGTAATTCTGCAGAGCTCTGTAAATGACCTACTGCTATTAATTAACGTTGAGAACTCAAGATCTATTTCTATTGAAAACAATAGAATAAATATTTGAAAAGAGCAATTCACAGCAATTTTGCTTCCTTTAGTAAAAATTGGCATTAATTTTTATTGTTTCACGGTACATATATAAGCATGAATATTAAATTTCACTACTTAATAAAAAAAAAGTCAACCAATTCATTAGCCATCAATGTAATGTCTTCCTTCTTCAGAGCACTCTTCCCTGAAGCCATATCTTAGTTTTTTCAAACTTATTTTTACCACTATCCACTGTAGCAACCACGTTCTTTATTGTGAACCAGGAGCTACATAAATACAACAGAAATGGCACTTTCCTGAAAGAGCATTTAACCTTACCACATGTAACCCACTCTAATGCTTTCTGTTTTATTCACCTCCATTCCATTCTGTTATTTTTTTGAAAAGATCTGATTGTGAACGTCTAGAGTTCATGATTCACTGTTTCATAGTCAGCAGTTTGAAAAACTGTTTCAAGTAAATTCTTTCCTACTGTCTCTGTCTTTCCAACCCATGACAGCATACTGTTTCTTTTGTGGGACTTACTCCGTTTGTAATTATTTGACAGATATTGAATTGATTTATTTCTATACCCCACTGGATTGCAGGCTCTGGGAGGGCAGAATTGATGGCTGCGTTGTTCACTGCTGAATTCCTATCAATTCTCCCTCACCGCGTGCAGGTTAAATATTTATCGTGGGACTAGGACTTCAGGAAATGAAGGATCATAGAACAGGGCTGATATTTAGCCCTCCCTTGGCAGGATAGTCAACAGGTATGAAAGATTGTAGGAAAAGAAATAACCTGGCATTATTTTTCCCGAGAGTTGAATGGTGCTGAGGAAATGGCTTCACTGTTTCACTCCACTGACAAGAGACGGCTCTGTGCCGGGCATGGGCCCGCAGACAGCCCTTCTTCTGGCCTCCTCTAGCGGGAGAGTTGGTCCTCCTCTACCCCAGGCTCCCTCTCTGAAGAAATTCAGGGGAAGAAGCAACATGAAGCGTCATGGTCTGTTTCAGCACATTTGCACATTGGCATGTGTAAAAATTAAAACTATTTGGCTAGGCTAGGGAATACATATTATGGATAGCTTTCTGTAAAAATTCACTTTCATACTGCTAGTTTGTTTTTACAATTCTAAATGACTGGTTCCTTATCATTCAGGTCTAGCTAGACTATGTTCTGATAATGACTCCAAAGTCTCAAGGTCCTTTAGCAACAAATATTTACTTCTTGCTCTGTTATGTCTTTCCTGTATCTACATCTTCTTCATTCTGATACCCAGACTTAAGGAGCTGCCTCAACCTGGAATATGCTGGTCTTGCGGCAAAGGAAAGAAACGAGAGATGGTGGAACCAGATGACAGATCTTAACATTTTTGCAAGGAAGTTGCTTCCATTCATTTCACTCACGTGTTACCCCCAAGTCAATGAACTTCAAGCCCAAGCAAGTCACATGGG